TGTGACGTGCCAGCTCCCACCCCTGGCCAATGAACTCTTTCCATCCCCTAAGCAGCACGGAGCCACTGCGTACCCCACCATCATCGCCAGATCTACCAAGTAGTTCTCTGACCCGCCTGCGGCGAGCAACAACATCGGCAGCGTTCACCGTTCGCACGACAACTTCGCGTTTGGCATAGTTGTCGTGCCAAAAATGCACGATCGGAGTCTACAGACTCCAATCACGTTTGGTTTTCCAACGTTTGCTTCCTAAAGAACAACCTTCCCGACTTTAAAGCACTAAAGTAATCTTTCCCGAATACAATATTCGCTGTGTGCGAGACATGGCTGGACGCCCGTCTTCGGTGGGTAATTAATGGGCAATTAATCAATCTCACACAGTTCTCTTTATTCCAGCAAGACCGTACCTCCTTGGGGCGAAGGCGTCCGTCCTCGCCATGCCAAAACACCTGCCCTGCCAACGTTTCGACTACCTCACCCCTCCAAGTCTAGAAGCCATCTTTGTCGAGGTATTTTGCAAAAATGGCAAGTTTCTTCTGGTGTCTACCTACTGCCCACCCTCCCTCCGTGAACAATCGTACGCCCTCCTCCAAGAGAGCCTACAGCGCGTCGACCCCAGCAAGTTCTCTGCACTGTTCATCTGATCCACTCGATGACATGCTGTTAGACGTATCGAAAACTGCTGGCCTCACCCAACTTCATGACGCCTCATTCTACATTTCTCGAAACAGTAATGCTACATTCCTCGACCTCGTCCGCACCAATAATCCCACCTTATCCTATCGCTGCACAGTGAAATCCAGCCTACCAGACAGTGATTGCAGTGCTCTCCTCACCAATATTCACTGCTCAGCCCCTAAGCGAGGTCATCAAGCCAAGAAGTTCCAGCAGTTCTACAAAACCGATTCCCCTCATCTCAATCAGCTCATCCACCCCGCTCCCCGGTTCATCGTGTTTGATCACCCATTGGCTGACGAGGCTGACAACCTCTCGCTCAACATATCAGCAATTCAGCACAAATGTGTTCAACAGGAGGCACGGCAACCTTCCATGGATGACAAAGGAGATTGCAGTCTTAATCAGACGTAAACACTGGCTATTCAAAAAAGCACCTCTAAATCCCACTCATCTTAACCGAGCCCACCAGGCACGTACCGAAGTCAAGCATCTCATCCATATCTCCCATAATGATTACCTACAGCAACTAGGAGCAAAAGCAACCTTCCATGCGCTGGCCTTCACACATCACGGCAGGCCCTATTCTAATCTTGACGACATAGCACGAGCTCTTCTCTTACCACTTTTCTCAGGCTGCAGCCTTACTTGACCCTACCGCACCTAACCTTTGTCCCACCCAACCCACAACTCTGCCAGTCATGGCCACACCAGCAACCACACTCTTCCATAGTCATTCTTCAGTGTGAAACCTACGAAGCCCTTGCCTGTGTCAACTTCTCTCAACGCCCTGGACCAGACAGCCTCCACCCTGCATTGCTTAAATCCTGTGCTGGCCATATCTCCCCCTACCTCACTCGCCTCTTCAACGATTTTCTCTCCCACAGCTGTTCCTAAATCCTGGAAAGTTGCGTCACTAGCGCCTCTCAAAAAGGGACACGGTGCCCCCTCAAGTCTAACATCCATTCATACTGACCAATCTCCATAACCTCCATCGTTTGCCAAACAATGGAGCCCCCACCAATACGGTTTCCGCCCGGCAGGAGCTGCAAATCGGCCCTTGCAGCCTTCACCCATGCACTCAGCACCAGCCTCGACAACCGAACTCCGTGCGAGATCGTCCAGTTAAACTTCAGAAAGGCTTTTAACAGCGCAGACCACAGCTTGCTCCTGTCCAAACTCCAACAGATGGGAATCTCCGGAATGAGGAATTAAAAATCTACTTTTTCACAACACTACCTTATTCTTCAAGGGCTCTTTTCGTGATTTAGCACAAACTGGAAACACTACTAATAGGTAGGGTGTTCACTCAGCTAGGTTATGCGTGACATTGCGTGTCAAAGGGGCTTTGAGCAAACTAGTTGAAGAACATTTTGTCCAAGCTCAAGAGAAAAAAATCTTGTTCTTGACCACTGGCTAACACAACATGATGGCAGCAACTGGTTAGTTGTTTTCTTCCGGTGACTTCAGAACGAGGTCTACTGGCACGACAACCAGCTGTGGTTGTCGTGCTGATGGGAACAGTTCCAGTATTCAGGAGCTTGAAGTTCTAATTGCCAGAACTGCTCCACAGCTTGCATGCCCAATGCTGAGACCACTCGTAAAAAGCAGGACTTGATCTAAGTCGTCCTCACAGTTTGCAACCTGGTTCGCAGCTTGCAACTGCGTAAGGTTTTCCTTCTCAAGTGCCTCATAGATGCCGGAAACTACTATGCGTCAGCGGTATCCCAGAAACTCTTTTTTTCAGATTAATGACTTGAAAGGGGTTTTCAAGACAGCCCTCCCTAAGACAGATCATGATGAGGAAGAGCTAGAGCCCTCCCAGTCACTATTTTTTCCCAGATATGCAGAACTGCCGTTAGTGCACTTACCCAACCATTTACGCAGTTTGTCATATGACGAGTTGCAGAATATTGTCAAGTGATCACTTGTGGCTGCGACATTCATAATTGCATAAGAGATCATAGAATAGATGCCAGAACCCTCATGGGGAATGTTATGCCGCAATGTCAATTTCGGTGGCCACATTACAGCTATAATCTGTTTCAGCCCAATTTGACAAAGAAAAAACACTGCCGCCCTTTGGAGCTAATCAGAGCAACGAAGCAAGTTTTGTGAGAGCTCTCCGTAGGAGGAGTATACTCTCACAATATGTTGTCCCGTCTCTCAGCTAAATGTTCCAATTGTCTCGTTTGTGCCATAGCTTTGGTACCGCCCTGTAAGCTGCAGAAGGATGAGTCAACCTAGTTCCAGTAACAGTTCACCTCAAGTATGAATATGAACAGCAAGTGTTCATGCCACCCAAGGACGAGGGTCGACAAACTTCCCAGCGTACAGTCTCTGATTTTCTTCTTGTGGCCCAGATGATGAGCTGCCTCTTGAGTTTTCTCACTTCATCCCCCTGGTTACTGATGGTCCTTGTCTCTGGTATCCGGCCCTTGCAACTTGCCTCCACACGTTTGTCGCCCTCGTGGTATTCCCTTTGATTCTCGGAGGAACCATCGTACTGGAACAGGAAAGTAACAGCATAGAGTGAATGGACGAAGTGAGACACACCTTATACTCAGGGGCAGATTTAGAACTCTGTTTTAGGAGGGGGAGGGGGGGGGGGGGAGGGGGCAGACAATTTGTAAGGATACTATTCTCCCCTTCTTTTGTTTGCACCGGGGGGTCCAACCATGTCAAATTGCCCTCTGAGAAGGGGGAGGGGCATGACTTTGGAGCAAAGGGGCGGCCAAGGGGCCGCCCCGTCGGAAGAGAACCAAGGGGGGGCGACGTCGTCGCCCCTTGGTGAGGGGAAGAACCGAGGGGGGGCGACGGGGGGCGGCCGCTCTCGTCGCCCCCCTTGGATCCGTCCCTGCTTATACTTCTAAATTAGATAAGTACTGTTGGTCTTACTGCATGACGTGTCAAGCGGAGATAATTATGTCTGGAGCTTGACAGGGGGAGGGGGGTTTCGACGCATGCTGAACGACAGGTGCCAGATGCTGCCATACCCACAGGGTATCCTGAGGAGAGAGAGAAGACAGGTGTGAGTCCAGGAAATTGGCATGTTTGAGCAACACTTTCGTTACAGGCGCCTTCCCGTTAATTCCCTTCAAGGAACATCCATCTGACTAGTTAATTCAGAATTATGTTCAATGTTCAATGTACCCAGTCAAGCTAGCTTAGCCTGTTTGCAAATATGTAACTGGTAAATTCACTTTTTATAATGTTGCGTGTTTTTTTTTGTTTTTTTTATATGTTATATTATGATGCCAACTTCTCTTTTATGATTTTACAGATTAGCGAATCCCAGGTTCGGTCCTGATCCGCGTCATTTGCCACGATATTTATATTTCTTCAGTAAAGTGGTGTGAAAGCTCCGGTTGCGCGTGAAGCAATTCATTACGTTCGACCGTTCTATATGTCACGTCCGACGTACATACGCCTCAGAAATGAACAGAGTCACATACACTGCGTTGGAGAAAAGACGATCGCGCCATGACCTGACGCGAAGGATAGCACGAGCACTTTTAAATGTTTGCACTCACCGGCAACGAACTTGAAGCGGAATCCCGGAATCTCGAACGGAGAAGCGAGTCCCCGGCTTTTTGGCTTCTTGCCTGAACAGGCCCATTTAGAACACATTCATAGCGTGATTCGATAACTCACGTGACATTAAAACGTTAAGCGAGGATCCAACCGAAAGAGAAATGTACTAGAAAAGAGAAATTCGCAGAACAGCAACACAAACAACGCCGACAACGCGACCGGCGACGTTTAAAAACATGGCTTCGGTTAGGGCAATGAACTTTTAAAGCTAACGGTAACTGCTCGATTTTTTCTTTCCATATTGGTTTCTTATTATAACCTAGCTTATTATGTTTTCTAAAAATATTAACATTAACGCACTCATTTTAGTCAATCGCGATTCTTTTTGACTCTGTTTTTTTGTTTGTTTTTGTTTTACACCTTCAGTTGTCGCCATCCGGCTTGAGGAGCGCTGTGTATGCGCGATTACCGGAAGTGGCCTTGAGTGGGACCACTGGTTATGATTTCACTGTGACTATACCGACGTGGTACCGACTGTACCGTCAATTCCATGGCCGCGCAAGCGCAGTAGCGGTATGGTGCAATCTTGGCTCTCGAGGGACTTTATTTCAATGTGGGTTGGTCCTGCCATCTGTTGGGTAAAGTAACAAACAATACAAACGATACTAACAAACAATGCCTCAACCAACACTCAATCCAATAAATAATTAAACTAACATTGATTGAAACTACAACCTCGTAATTTTTGCTTTATTTTGTTTCTAAGAACATTGGGAGCGTTTCAAACAGCTCGGCGTATAGCGCGAATTTCAAAGCCGATCAAAGCAGACGACCAAAAGTTCAAACGGCTGTTGCGAAAAGCTACTTCACTTTACGGAACGTCTACATTCGTCGCTAGCAAAAACAGGTTTATTTTCTACATTCCTTGGTAACGAGATGAACAAGAGTAAGCCGTCGAAGTTGAGCAGAAGGCTCACCATGCAGAAACTACCTATTAATGTTCTTTCTTTGACAAGCAGTGCAAAACGCGTTTGCAGCGACGACGAGAATAAGGAGCCTTCGGTCGGTGGCAGCTCGGGTGCCGCCTGCAACAAGCGAGCGTATTCTGACGACGATGATTCTCCCGTTGAGCCCGGTCAGCAAACTTCTCTTCAGTCGGCAATGGCGGGAGAAATGTCCAAGATTCTCGACAGTTTTGGCAACGACGTTGCCAAATCGCTGCGTGCCAAGAAACGACGACTTTGGCAACACCTGCGTGTAAGTCTAAGTGGCCAAATCAAATCTCTTTCCTATAGTTTTTGCCCATTCTCCTGTCTTGCTTTTCTTGATTCTCTTCCTAAAATTATAAATATTATTGCATACCTTTCTTTTCTTACAACTCCCTCCCCCAAACTTTTTTCTTCTTTGTTCTAAGAACACATTCAATTAATTCACCATAATCTCGTTTCAGACATCAACGAAAAATATCACAAATAAGATGTCGGACTTGGATGAATCCTTGCTAGCCGAACGGCGCAGCGTTGTCGAAGAGTTTGAGAAACAAGTTACCGACATCACCGAACAAATCGAAGACGACATCCAAAAAGTGAAGGAGTCGGAAGAAAAGATTACGGTAACAGATATCCTAGTTTAATCTAATCAGAAATCGGACACTTCTCGAACTTTGACATATTTACCTTCCAGAAAGCTCTTGTGCAATACCAGAAGCAGCACCAGCAGTTCATAGAATGCAGTATCAACAAGTTCAGGTCTTTGAAGTCACTCTGGACTAACTACTTTGACGTAAGCTCTGCAAGCAGCGATGCTTATTCTGGCTATTTTCTACTTTCAAAGCATACTTTTTTGCCAACTCGTGTAAATTCTTTTCAACATTGTTGATAAACAAGTCATGCTTGGAAAAGAAATTTAAATGGGCTCAAAGTGAATTGCAGCTACCATTACAAGTGTGTACAGTCGTCCCCTCTTCTCCCCATCCTAATAGGCAACTAAAAAGATGGATGCCAAGCAGACAGCTCAACAGCAGAAGCTCAACTCGGAAGTCAAGGACGAAATCCTCGGCCTCCAGGAGAAGATTCTCACCGACGCTCAAGAGTATGAGATAGTCAAGATGCGCAGCAACCTGCAGAGCATCCTGATGTAGCGCATTTCCACATTCTCTACAAGTCTAGAGGAAAATCGGACAGTAACATGTTATTCATTTCTGATGCCGCATATAGCCCAACTTTGTTGTTTCGACTTTTTTTGAAGCCGGGTATTACTTTCGGTTGAAAAGACGTTGCAGTGGCATTGCAGGAAAAGCATCGGGCAGTAGGTACCACTGTTGCCAGTGCAACTAACTAAAGGCAAGCGTGCCACCCACTTCTTCGAAGACAATGAATGTGCTAGCAACCTTGCTTGCCTCTTCAATATCTGTACTCGCTGAAATAAAGGAATCAATGTTGTTTTGTGTGTTCGTTATTTGGTGATGAAGATTGTATTCTGAAGGTCATTCGCACTCTGAATGTAGCCAATATTATATTCATTTATATAGAGTGCAACAGAGTTGTCGTAAGCATGCGATCAACGAACGGTTTAGATAATTTTCCTTCTGGAGCTCGAAAAACTTATGGAAGTTACTAGTGTAGTGGAGTCTGCTTACAGACACAGCAGCTTTGGGTAGAATTCGGCATTTGATACTTACATGTAGAAATAAAATGAATGAAAGTCCGAATATTGTGCTCAGGTTAACTGTGTTGCAGAGGGTATCATGCTCACAACATGATAGGCATATTATACATCAAAAAATAAGACTAAGAAAAGAGATCTGTATGCTTTCAACCTCTCTTTCTTTACCGAGCTGAGAATGTTTATTTAGGGTTAAGGCTTTCAACACTCGCTAAGGCCCTCAATCGAGCAGCGGGGAATGGCAAGGTAAATTTGGCAGTCTAGATGCAAAATCATGGCATGGCATCTGTCATGTCCCAGTGAAGGACTGAAGATTAATTTCAACTAACTTGGAAACTTTTGACGAACAGAGCAACTGAAACCTCGGTGACACAGCGTTTTTCTCGCAATAAGCCTTTGTCATACTGCAAACACCTCAACTGGGGTTCAAACCCGCCAAATGGGGATCCGCAGGCCAGTGCTATGCTCTACAGCCGCAGGGGTTGCTGGTGGGAAAGGCACCCTCGGCTCTTGTATCCCCTTGTGTCAGGGTAGTTCAAGCTCCCACCAAAACCAGAGTTGGAATTCAAAACTTCTATCATTCATTCTGGACGTGCATTATACTTTTTTTTTTTCTCAAATCCCACGTTATTAGAGCATTCAATCAACATAAAAGCACATTATACACTGGTACATTCAATATCCCAGAACTGAAAAAACATTCTGAGTAATCTGAAGCGAACCAGCATTTTTTCTTACATTTTATTCTGTCTGTAAAAACAAAAAACATTTCCAAAAAAAAAAAAAATTTATTGTAACGTATTCTAAGCAGAAAAGAAAAAGTTGTTGGCATAAATTAAATATTCAGACTATCAGTTTGCAACAATGTCAGTACAAACACAATGCAACATATTTGTCCGAAGCTAGGCGTGCAATCAGAAGGAACCTGTATCGCACTTGAGCCTTCCAGGTATGTAGACTACGATCGGAGTTTCCGCAGTCCCACGAAAAACCTTTCAGCTACAGCAAAATCGGACACTGCTGGTACATTCCTCTACAGTAGAAGTGTAATGCTATGCAACGAGTCCACCTTTCTGCGAACTGGGCACGTGCTCTTGCATGGACTGCTTCCTTGAAAAAGGTTCAATGTTGAGGCTGTGTTGCAACTCCAGCAGGGGCATCTCCCAGTGCTTCTCGTAGTAAACGCACATTAGGTTTTTTGCATTGTACCCCACATGTAGTGCCCAAGGGAGATGGCTTGAAACATAGTCCCTGCGCTGCCTGGAAAGAAAGTAAAGGTCATGTCACCATTTACAAGCAAACATACTTATCACAGAAATAAAAAAGCTTCAAACCTATAATCACATATTGAAAAACAGTACTTTTATAACTGGCATAGCATAATGGTAGGCATAAGAAGTGGTATACACCAACTCAGGTTTACAAACAAACCGGAGCGCCCCTAGCGGACGCCACCGGCGCCGCGCATGCGCGATGGGGGTGTGGGCAAGAAGATCGCCGTCGCCCATAAACAAACCATTGAAATGCTATGTTATCGGCGTCTGTGTGAGTCCCCCTGCCCTTTTTCACGTTTGAATTGTTGATTCTACGTCTTCCTGAGCAATGTCTGACTACTTGAGCGGCCTCAGCGAAATTAACAAGGCTCGTTACCCCGCAAAACTTCGCGTCAATAATGTGACATGCGGCGATTCATTCCGCGTGGACGCCGCAGAATGTACGCTAAAGCCTCATTCGCATGATGAGATTTCGCTCGCAATTTTCAGTTGCAACGTCGCTCGGGCTGCAAAAGCGTGAACCGCAGCTGAGATGGTTGACATCGATATTGAAAATCTAAAGCAGAATCGGACCATGCGAATCAGGCCTTGCAAGTCGGTGATGGTCACTGGTAACAATGATCAACATCACCTTGTATCTGCTGTTTACATCGAGCCTGCTTACCAACCTTCAAATTTAAGTCTTTTGAGGCGTGCACTTACTTCTTATCGCAAGTACCGGGCCAAGATATGTTCTACGGGCCGGCGTCATCTAAAAGAGCAGACGACAAGCAGACGACAATTCAAGCAATCAGGTGGCTGTTTAAACTTGAAGACGCACTGAACGTGGTCAGCACAACTTGGCAGTTTTCTGGCGTTCATGTTGGAACAAAAGAAATAAATCTGATGACCAGAAGTATCCGTGAATTCAACCCTAAGTGCTTCCCGCCCAAGCAATCGTAGTCCGACGGCGTCTGCTTTTCCCTTTTCACTGCACATACCCATATTCTCGGACGAACCGAGCACGTGAAAACTGACCTTCAAACCTTTCTCGACACTTTTGGCACGGCCCCAGTCGCGGCGTTTTGACGAGAAGGCAAGTTTTTGACTCTTTCCTTTCAAAATAACGCAGGAATACACGTCTACCATGGGGACTTCTGCCCACAGCTCCAGACCGGAAGTGCGACCGACGCGCCACCATCGCGCCGTGACGTAACAGAGATGAGTTTGTGTATAGCCAGGAATTTCTTCTCAGGGCGGCTAGGATCTCTATGACTACAGATGGGGGTGGCTATGGAGCTACTAGGCGTGGAGGCAGTGAAGGGGCGGAGGCAAATGGATTATTCGGAGGGGAGGGTGGAGGATTCAACCCTGAAAACCCCCCCTGCCTATTCCACTGGGCATGAGGGACAGAGTAGTCAACTTGCAACTCAACCCCAGCTTTTGGAAGGTTTAAGTTTTAGAAGAACATCCTACAAGTTGCCTCTAAAAATAAGACAGAGCAGCATACAATTGCAGCAGCACAACCAAGTTGAATGTGCTAATACAAAATTTATGCTCCCTACTATAGTCAGTTACATGTTAAGAAATGTTGGCGAGGGAAAGAAGGCTGGGGAGGAAGAGGCAGACGGAATGCTGGAAAGCAGAGTAGGAAACGTCCTACTCTCTACAGCGTCCTATCTGCTACCTCCTCCCCAGCCTTCCTTTCCCTCAAAAACTTTTCTTAACTTGTAAAATGACTATAGACCAAAATGCAAAAGCAGACTACATTCTAACCAGTGTTTTTTTTTTGTTGTTGTTGTTTTCATATAAGAAAAAAATAAATGAATCAAAAAAGCTTACTGACAAAATATTTAGCCCTCTCACTCAAAGTGTCCCCCCTTGTCATGCCAAAGGAAAAATGATGAGACTGTCTACACAAGAAAAGTCTCAATTCCTACACCCTAAATAGCCCGTCACCAATACTAAACCGCAGCACCTGCATATACAGAAGGCACAAAAGATCCATAAGACGAAGTAAAGCCTCGTTTTCACACCAAACTTAGAGCAAAGGAAACGCTGAATTACTTGGGCCTGAGGCGTACAGCACCGAAAAGGGCGCCGGTGGAGCACATGGGCATCTTGGTGTGAATCGCCTCCACCCATTTGACGGTCACCTCTCCAAGCATGTGTGTGGGCATCTCGAGCAAAGTGTGTATCAGGTCGTGTACCTCGCGGTACCTCTGAGCCACGTATGCGAGCTCGGGGTCATCCACAAACTGCACCGCCAGTCTGGAGTCCGGAGTCACATTCTGTTGGGCGAACAGATGGTAAACAAGCAACTAAAAGCAGCCCACTTGAAGCGAAACACCTAGACGGAGGAAAGATGGGACAGCTCGTTGTGTATGTCTGTTTGGCCCGTCTTTTCTCAGTCCCCGATTTTTTTCGGTATGCATTGTTAGTAAAGGTGCGGCCCTACGTACCAAATGAATTCTAATGTCTAAGATGCTAAGTTTTGCACGTTTAGGTAGGGTCGAGCTTTGGTTGCCCCACTTCCAGCACGAGCTTAATTCCTACCTTTGGTAACAAGCCTCCTGAGCATCGAAAGTGCACACACAGCCCAAGCAAGACAAAAGACATTGAGCGCACGCAGGCAGCTGGGCGAGCCCAAAGAGATGCCCCAACGTTTCCATCCTGTGATGACTATTCGCAACTCCAGCGTGCCGCTCGCCCTCCCGCGGACGAACGGAGAACCAGAGGAGCGGGGACGGCAGCGGCGGCGGCGGCGCAGAAACGGTGGCAAGGACTGCGGGCCTTCATGCGTGAAGCCGTTTTAACGAAAAAGTGAGCGCGTTAAAAAAGGAATTCTCGTGCTCCGCCTCGCAACAGCCTTGCACGAAGAACCGGGATGTCTAATTTCATTAGGGACTTTTCGTGTATCGCATATGCTGCGGATTTCTGGTCTTGTGCATGGCTGCCAGCTCGATCTGTGCTCAACGTGACGGAAGACGCTCCCGCTAATAATGAAGAACTCTATAGTACAGTCTACGGAAAGTCTATTCTTTGCCATAAGTAGGATAAAACTTGTCACGCAACGGAATGTGTCGACCAATACAAATCGAGAATGGGTTCACGTTTTAAGGTCGTTACAAGGAACATGACCATTTATTCCAAGCACTTTAATAATACAGAATACCCGTACTTGCTTTCAGGTAATTACAAAGCAAATAAAAAAAATGCTCGAAACATTTCAAGCGCGTCTGTGTTAGCCAGGCGTTCGTGACAAGAGCTTAGAACGCGCAGTTTTGGCCAGAGGGACCGCAATATTTTCAAATAACACGGTACAAAAATGTACAGTATTTTAAAATATTTTTTTTTTTGTTAGAGCAATAAATGAAACCTCTAAACACGCCGATTATATTAATAGGCAGCTTTTGCATAGCGTACGACACCCCTAAACTTCAGTTGGATGTACAGCGCACTGACGTTCAACTGGCGCCCCCAACTTTCACGAGCGGCTTGATAACCGAGTTGTGCAACTTATTAAAATAGCTTAAATAAGTGTAAATGACTGTAAAAAAAAAGTAGTCAGGTTTTTTTTAATTTTACTGCAAAACCTCGGTTTTTTTGTTTTTTTTGGTACTCTTTGATGCGTACTTTAGCTGTTTAATATCTTATTACGCCGTCATCAAGCCTCTCGTGAAAGTTGGGGCCGTCAGTTTGACGTCAGTGGGTTGAACGGCGAACTGAAGTTTTGGAGTGTCGTATATGTGACAAGAGGTGTAAGAACTACAACATTTCTTTTTTCTAGAGTGAAAAGCACGGCAACGCTCCTGGCGCGCACTGAAAATTGTGCTTCAAAGGCGGAGCACGAGCTTCCGTTTGTAGTGCTACACCGAACGGTAGCCTGCGATAACAAACTTTCTATCAATAACCATAGAGCAGTTTAATTACATGTTGCAATACACTAGAACCGAGACAGTGAGCAGCGAGTTGTGAGGCTGTAACGCGAAGACACCAATACTGTGAGCGGTGCTCTTCCGAAGCTTGACGGTCACCGTTCGTGACTCTCTTTTTAGAGCACTAATGGCCAGGCAAAGCGCAAGCATATCTTCATCACCCTCAAAAATATTCTGCCACACACAGTAACGTGACCGGTGTCTAGAACACGCACGCTCACCACAAAGCTGCGCAATTTGAGGTTTCTGCAACTTCTAAATAGCAGCCTGCTCGTGTTCCTAACGTGCATCAGCATCTCCATCACCTGTAATATGATCCCTCCCCAACCACTTAGCATTTGTAGACAAATAAATCATTTTAAGAGCGCTGAACAGCGTCAGCGAGCAGGTACACGGGATATCCTGGAGAATCTATCCCCGTCTCTTCCGCCATCTTGGAACTACCACCCCGCCACCTATAGGGCGTTGGAGTTGCGAATAGGAAGCTAAAGAGGGCGCACTCACATTGTCTGCGAGGAAACGGTAGTAAGCATGACCAAAAGTTTCTTTGGGAAGCTGCCTCAGGTAGTCCAAGTCAAGCATAGAAGTGTTGATCCTTGGTCGATCCCTGTAAGGGAGAATAAGCTCAAACCCGTTCCAAACGGCGCACGCATACAATGAAAAAGGGGTTAGATGCGGTGATACTGTTGAACTGTCTAACCTCAATATCTGTCTACCTTCCGGATCATTCGACATGATTCTATGCAGCTCGCGAAACGCGAGGGACCCAGTTGTCTCTCCGAACACTGCCACCATGTCTGCAAGACAAGAGCAAAGATATAGAATCACAAATCTCTAATGCCAATTTTTGTTGTTGTTGTTCTTGTTCTCGAGTTACACTTACCATCTCTGAAAGGATCTGTGATTGCTGCAAGAGCGGACCCGACAGATATCAGGACCTTCTGTGCAAGCGTTGTTGGTATGTGGCCAGGATAAAGCGGAGCCTTCGGGATGTCTTCGTGGACTCGAACATCGCCATCGTGCTCTTCGTACGTGTAACAAAAATTCGGACCGACACAGTTAGTGTCAATAAAACGATAACATTCAGACCGACACGGTTCATCTCAATAAAAACGAATGGCTGTATCATATGTTCCCGGTGGAGAATCCGGAGAAGTATTATACATAGTAGTCTCGAGAGTGTAATGAAACTCACCAGTCTCCTCCTTGCTGCTTGCAATGCCTGTGTGAACGGTGCTGCGAGACACAGAAGCAAAAATGTTGCGCTTGGTTAGCCTGCTAACCCAGCGAGACAAAATTGGAACAGAAAACCCCATGCTCCTCAAGTCATAAACAACGCCATGCTAGTTCACTTTAGCCATGCTGCGCAGAGTCACTGGAGTCACTGCAACGTTGCTTCGAAAGAGTAGAGTACGGGATTTCAATCTTTCGATCTGGCACGGAAAACGGGAAGCCGGAATGGGCAGTGCTAATCACGTGATCTGCTTTTCCATCAACTCCGTCGCACGGTCGCGCGTAGCGTTGGTCGCATGAACCGCCCGACCTAACGTTGAATCAAAAAGCGATTAAACGATAAATATACTAGTAGAAGGTTTCAGCAATTAGCGTCTCCAGACTTTAATCCAACGGAGCATTCTTCGACAGAGCTCGGGGAAAGGCAGTGACTTTTTTTCTATTCCACGTCCACTTTCAAAATAATTTTGAATAATTATTTTGACATTTCTGACGCCATTTCTTGAAAACATGAAAATGTTTTCAAAAAGCTACTATATTGCCGAAAATAATCCCTGGAGAAGGGGAACGAGAGGGACAATATTGCACTATTTTGACTTTTTTTTTTTTTTTTTTTCGAAAATGACGTTGCAAACGTTGAACTACTCTTCAAACCTGAGGGGTGCGTTGGGCGCGTCTTATGTACGAATCGATTTACTCAAAATTGTGGCTGGCGGTACAAGGGTTGCCGCAAAGGATATGAAATGTCAATAACAAAAACCGAGCTCCAGATAGAGCGGGATATAACAAATAAACTGAACATAAATCTTATTGTGGCCCGGAAGCTTAGATACTAGAGCTGGAAGGTCTTTCAGCACACTGATAAGATAGAGGTGTCGACTTTCGCAGTTTTCGTTCCAAGATAATTTCTCCATCGGGATTCCCGCACACTTCATACCCAGGGTGCAACTGAAACAGTACCACCATGGAAGGTTGGAGTAATGACGACCTACAAGTGTGCGTGGAAAAGGTGAGTAGCGTCTGATCACAGATAACTGCTATGCTCCGTTTCAATGGACCGCAGACGCTAGGATCCATCGCAGCCAATCCAATGCCGTGCGAGCATCACGTGACCTTCTGGAGAGCACCAAAAGGGCGCGTGGTCTCATAATATATCCGCAACACTAGATTGGTCCTGTATGGCTCGTAGCTGTCGTAGCGTCCACAGAATGATGATGATGATGATGATGATGATGATAATAATAATAATAGTAATAATAATAATAATGTTACATGAGCAAGCAAGCGTCTATGCAGCCGATGCAGCCCAAAGGTCACTGAGGTCAGAGGCTCCGGGGCGGCGGCGGCGGGGGCGGCGGCGGCGGGGGCGGCGGGGGGGGGGGGGGGGGGGGGGGGGGGGCAGTCGCTCCCACAGGTTTTAAGCCAGTCGGTGTGGCATGTCCCCCCACTCGAAGCTGTTCTCACTGCCCCCACAAATCTTTTCCCCTCCCACCACCACATATATATATAAATATATATATATATATACAGGGTGATTCAAGGAGAGGCCTGGCTCTTTAAATCAACCGCAAAATTCGGTTTCTTAAAGGGGTGGGTGCAACCATTTCCGGACTTCAGTCAAAGATTTCTGGAAGTTACCCTCTGACACTTCTGAAGTGAAGGACAGAAAACTGATTTCGCCTGCATGTCCTAGCTGTTGCGTAAAAAAAAGATAAATATTGGCATTTCGGGCACCCCTTGACTCACTCCCAGCCTTCAGGGTCACACCTGGTCCCCGTCCTAGTGACGTCATTCGGAGTGCCGTGTAGGTACCCGTGTGCTATCTCGGAGGACACTTCCTCTCCCTCTCTCTGCTGACATCAGCGGGCGTTATGCTGCAGCTTAGAGCCGAGCGAGGTCACATAGTCTTTTCGCCGTAGTTCTTTCGGCTGCCACTTGGGGCATGCACGTGGGGGAAAAAGCTGGACTTTTGCTTTGCAATTATGCAGCGGAATCGCAACATTTTTAATGAAGGAGGTGTTTTCTTTATCCTCCGGGACACGATAAACAACGTAAATTAATGACGGGATGCAAATTCTTTGAATCATAAAATCGTTGCACCGCCCCTTTTACCTATCGCGCTACGACTTCGTGCAGCGTTGCCCACAGATGGTGCATTTTTTTTTTTGTAAAATTTGCAAAGAGCGAACTTACTTGAGGAAAAAGTAAAGAAAGAAAAAGGCTTAGCTCCTATGGAAACGTAGCGACGCCACCGGTCTTCAAACAATGCGGCGCCGTTTCGCACGGGAGGCAAGAGATGGCGCAACGAACGCCGCCAACGTAAAGCATTGGATAAATTTTCGCCAACGAACGAGCATACGGCGTTGAGAGCCGGCGTCTTTAGCAGACAATCTTTTCGACTCAAATGCGGCGCGCGTTCCGCAGGCGGCGACAGTTGCAGTAACAAAAACAGGCGCGGTAACAACAAGGAACTGCAGTTACTTGTCTGTTAAAGACACCGGCTCTCGGCGTCGTATGCTCGTTCGTTGGCGGCAGTTGGCGTCGCGACCGCTTGCGCCATCTCTTGTCTCCCATGCAAAACGGCGCCGTGTTATTTGAAGACCGGTGGCTTCGCTGTGTTTCCATAGCACCTAAGCCTTTTTCTTTCTTTACTTTTTCCTAAAATAAGTTCGCTCTTTGCAAATTTTACAAAAAAAATGCACCATCTGTGGGCAACGCTGCACAAAGTCGTAGTGGTCGATTTAAAGAGCCTGGCCTCTCCTTGAATCACCCTGTATATATATGGAGAGAGAGGGAGAGGGGTGAACTACATGGTGTGACATGAGCCCTCAGGCGTCGCCCCCACAGATCAGATATACCTCCCGAGCCCCTGGCAAGGGGCATCTAGTGTCGTCCCCAATAACTCTTATCCCAAAACTGGAAAATAAAATGGTTAACATGCGTTATTGCAGTTTCAAGCAAATGGACTGGCATCACTCCCAGATTTCCTCTCACCAAAAGAAGTGCAAGACTTAAAAGATGAATGCACTAAAATGATCATGGAACTCCCTGCGGATGAAAAGCAAACTATATTTTCAACAACTAGCGACCAGGTAAAAGAAAGCCTATATTTAAATGTGATGTTCCCAATATGGTGCAATTTTATATAGGGACGGGATGAGTACTTCCTCACATCTGGAGACAAGATAAGATACTTTTATGAAGAAGATGCTTTCGATGAACAAGGCAAGACTGTTGTGTGACCTGAAGTGTCCGCACTGACAAAGTTCACTTTCCATGCAGGAAACATGGTCGTCAACAAGCTTCGAAGTCTTAACAAGATTGGACATGGTAGTACTTCTGATGTCCTTTCAGTGTAGTGTACCACATTTTCCGGGCAAAAAGCCGCTAAGCATTTTTTACAGCTCCAGCTTTGTTCATTACAGCACTCCATTGGCTAAATCCCATCTTCAAGAGTGTGTCATTCAGTGAAAAAGTTAAGGTAAGGCAGAAATGCTTTCGCTACAGGTTGAAGAGAGTTGAAAAGTAATTTTTTAATTGCAGCAATTAGTGAAAGAAGTTGGATTCAAGGACCCCGCCATTGTTCAAAGCATGTACATCTTCAAGGTGGGTCAAGGTATTTGTAATTAGAACAAATCTCACCTGGTACCAGATGCATAAATTTTTTTTTTGATGTGATAACACTGAAGACCTCTCAGTCCCAAGTACTGCAAGAAAGGAAAAACCTATGCAGAGAGCAAGTTGCCCACTTCTTGTGCAGGGGGTTGCAGTGATGCTAGAACAATGCAGAGTTTTGATTGGTTTTGATTGGGAGGATAGTGCGTAGACCTCGATGCTAAACGCCCTCAAATCTACCTTTTTTTTTTTTAATTTAGTTTTTAAGAGCTCGGCGTTTTGACGTCTCCGCGACCCCCACGCAAGAAGCAGACAAACTTGGGCTCCATGTACTGATTTATACGTCACATCAGTATTCAAGTTTGGTGTCACCTTCACAATCCAGCGACAAAAATGTTTTAAAAATCAAACACATTACAAACTAGGGTGCCTGGATGTCCAACTGTGCCAGGGTGGAGACTTTGTTTGTTCAATGGAGTGCTGCCAATGCATGCCTAACCAGACACACACATTTTGAACGGTGAAACGGCATTGAAGCACTTGTCAGCTATATGCTTGCACCAAGACACACCATAGTACATGCACTTTGCAAGAACAGAGAAAGAGTTGGTCAGTAAAACAACCCAATATCGTCGCTCTACTATTTAAAATGTTATCTGACAATGGTCTTAATCACATTGAGTTATGGTATACCTGGCACCGAAACAGTAATGTCCGACCACCGAATCCACTATGTGTACTTTGTTTCAGAACCCGGGCATCGGCGGAGAAGGTAAGGTGCCAAAGACAGGAAAGATCCTCTCCCTCTGCATCTGGTAACAATACAATGATTGCAGTGACGCCTCACCAAGATGCTACCTTCCTTTACACGGAGCCCAACAAGCTCATCGGGCTCTGGTTTCCGCTCGAAGACGCTACTCTGGAGAATGGGTGCTTGTGGTACATCCCTGGCTCCCATAAGACCAGTAAGGAGCCCTGCTTTGACAGTGATCAACGTTATTAGATCGAGTCGCTTATGGAACTTTTAACAGAGAAGTGACCCCCTCCCCCTCCCCGCAAAGGTCACCATCCGTCGTTCGAAGCACTATCCAGAGGCTGCGATTCAAAACTAAATTCTTCAGAAACGCTACGGTGAAGTGCCATCGAGACGCTGTGCTTTATAACCTGTATTCTGTAGAATAAACTGTAGTTACCATAGCAGCGATCCCCAAAACGATGGCACATTGAATGGCGGGAGGTGAATCTTTGGGCAAGAAGGGCGTGGGGGTTACTGCTCATGAAAGCAGACGCGTCTATGGGCAGTTCCATAACCGAGTTGGTCTAGTAACATTTACAGTAATCTATTTCCTCTTGTACAGACCCCTTGGAGGGCCACACACTGCTTACGACGTACTGTTTGTCTCGTTTAGGAAGGATAGCCAGAAGGTTCATCCGCAATCCTGATCCGGATGGCCCACTCACAAAATTTGTCGAGCTTGGAAGCAGCAATTACACCGGCGAGACTTTTGTGCCTGTCCCAGTGGGGAGAGGTATGCATGCCAAGATGTCCGACATCACTTACAGTCATTGTCAGCTCCTGATATAGAGATCTTGGAGGAGATCTTTGAAGATGGGAACAATGAATCTAAACAGCATTTGCCGAGTTTGCAAGTATAGCAATGAATCAGCACATGATCTCGAACTTGCTTTACCTTTTTCAGTATGAAATTATTATGCGCAACAAAGGGAAACCAACGTGCTGTCATCGGGTTGTAATATTCATTCAAATAAGTTTGTCTGACTTCTTTCAGACTCTAATGATAAAGTATCGCCGAGTAGGCTTTTAGATTCAAAACTTTTTCAGAAATTCATCCAAGTTCCACTTCGCCTCAGTCCCCTTTGTGATATAAGGCACCAATATATTCTTTCTTATTTTTATACTAACCTCTGACTCAAACAAGCAAGCAGCTGCTTTCTGTGGTGCTTGATTGCTGCTGTGCACCAGCTGCCAAACTACCCTCAAAGGCAGTGCACCCATCCTACACAATCAAATCAAAAGAAACAAATGCCTGAAATTCCTAAACTCTGCGAGACTTCAGCTTTAGAGGTAAAACACTAAAGCATCTTCCTTGATTTCCAAAGGTTCCCCCTTGTCCCATCAATCCCAACAGCTGTGGTTAGAAGGGGCTTAATTCCTTATGAAGCTAACAAATCGAGCAGCCCGGAACAAGGACCTGCACATATTCCTCTTGCAGTTGAATCCACCAAGCTTTTGAGGTGTCCAATGAAGCTGTAAGAATAGCATGTAAGGGGTAGATATAGCAACGAACCTGTTCTTAACACTGCAGGCGCTGTCTTCTTGACCCATCAAACTGCTATCACAAGTGAGAGAAGAAGCATAGCTCACATTGACTTCTAACACAGCTGTGACACTGCAGGTTCATGCGTGGTCATCCATGGCAATGTTGTGCACAAGAGCGAGAAGAACACATCGCTCTTCCCGAGACCTGCGTACACATTTCACATCATTGACAGGGACCAGTCAGTCTACAGTCCCCAGAACTGGTAAGCACAAAACAGATGCAAGGAGTGATGCAACTGAAGCATCACTAATTTTCTCTAACCTGGCCACCACAATTTCAGGTTGCAACCGACTGAAGAGCTTCCTTTCCCATCACTGTACGAGAACTCCTAAGGCAAGGAAACAAACCACTGGTCTCGTCAGAGCTCATACAGTGAAGGCCATTCCATCGTTCGATGCTGACCGCCAAAGTAGCGAAACTCATGAAACCTTTGTTTCCACACAAAGCAAGCCTATATAGAGCAGATCACACAAAGCACCAACAGGAATAAGCAGAATGTACAAAAGTTTTAACAGGGTAAGGTGCAGCCGTACGTGAAGAAGGCCTTATGAAGTGCATTTACCATGCTAAGTGATATCTACCATGTTATATGGACGCTGAAATAAAAAAACATAAAACAAAAATCTTTCTCATTTAAGACCTGAACCCAATAGCATGTGAAAACATGCTATGCTTAATGGGTGCGAAGTTCCTACTCACTTAAAAACAGTGGTATGAATGCATGTTAGTTCTTTCAGCAGCACAGTTCCCTTGCAGACTTACGTGCAAGTTCTTATGTCTGATATGCACTCCAGCCTATGTGCTAGAGTGCTTTCATAGGACATGGTTGTATGATACAAGCTGAAAAACATACCACACTGGTAACTCCCTTGGACTAGTCCGTGTCATAGTGTGGAAAGCATTGGCACAACAAATTTCCTTTGTTTTCATTGTGTGGGTTGAGTGAACCAAGAGTATGCAAGGCGGGCATTGGCACAGCTAATACCATCGTACCAACATTGACAGTTGGTGGCAAGCAGTGTTGGGTAAAGTACATCTAAAAGGTACTTCAAGTAAAGTGCTATAAATACAGTGTACTTTCACAGTAAAGTACAAGTATTTTAACACAAGCTCTTGTGATGCCCTTTCATTCCCCTATAAGTAATTTTTTAACTGGTATGCATTGCCCAGGGCCCAGGGGTAATCAGGGGTGCATGGCCTATTTTCAAAAACAGCGGCGAATATTTGATAAAATCAAGTTTCTCGTCGTAAGTCTTCAAGAGCTTCAAGAGTGGCCACAGAGTAGTTATTTTCAGGAATGGAGCCAAATTCAGAAGTCCTTCTTCTGAATTTGGCACCCCTTGCATTGGATTGTTGTACTCGAGGGGGCTAAATGTACTAGGAGAGAGCATGACGTCAGCCCTGTAGCTTCCGCAAGCAATCCTCTCACACAGGAGTGTCCTCTCCTTAATGCAAAAAACAGTGAGTGTGCAAGGGCGCTGGTGATAATTAATTATAATGTGACACCCGAGAGTGGGGTGCAAAAAGATTAAGGAACTTTCAAATAGAAGGAAAAGACAAAAGAGAATGTCTCAAAACATTGTGACGTTCTCCTCTGTTGTCCTTTACTTCGACTTGAAAATTTACTTTTTCCGTACCACAGTCTCAGGTGCTACATTATGAATAATTCTGCTCTCCTAATATTTTAAACCTCCTCGCTTGCACTGACCGACCGAGAAGTAGCGAGAGTTCAGGAAGCTACGGGAAAGCCGCTACCAGAACAAATGGAGCAATGCGTCGTCTGCTCACGCTTCTGGCAAGAGTAAAATATCCCTCCCAGTTTTTCTTCGAAGTTGACAAAGCATCATTTCGTGATACAAATTTAACAAAACCAAATTTGGGGAATGTACTCTGAAGTCGAGAATTGTACCTTCCTCGGAAAGTACCAGAAAAAAATAATTTAAGTAAAGTACAAGTACATACTCAGAGAATGTACTTCAAGCAAAGTACAAGTTTCCTAAACCTACTTAAAGGGAAGCTACGGAGCTTCTTGGAAAAAATGAGTTAGAAGTGAATTCTAGTGTATTTTTACCCCGTGAACTCGAATACCCAAAACATTTGCTGCGTAATTATTGTTAAACGCGAGAAAAACGCGAAAGACAGTCGCTGTACGTGACGTCATCGACGGATATTTTGACTGCCCAAGGCTAGGGAGGCGGGGCTTCAGTCCTATTTTGAAATTGATTGTATGGCTCTCCGGCGTGTCGCATTGAAATATAATTTTGATATCTGTTATTCTAAAGGCCAAATTAACGTAATTCAAGCTTTTTTTTTTCTCAAATGTAGAAGTGCCCCATCTTCCCTTTAAAGTAGTATTTTAAGTACAATGTACTTAAAGTACTTCCCAACACTGGTGGCAAGCAATCTCAATTGGATGATGCCCAAAAAAACCACGCAAGGTAAACAAGAGTTGCCATCATGACACAAGCTGCCTGGTGGACGACGGCAACAGTGCCGGCACCCGTGAAGTAACAACTTTTTGTCACATCGCACTGTACAATGCAGCATGTTGTCCAGAAGAAAGCTGATGGTTCTGTCTGTTGGCGATATATTTAGTGTGGTTGCTATACACTGCTCGATCTGCCCTCTATGTCAAAAAAGAAGACGAGAATAAAGTTCCCCCGTGTTCATACGCGGTAGTCGAGAAGACGTCAGAAAGAGTTTTCAATGTACTGGTATGCTAATTCGACGGCAAAAAGGGGGAGAGACAATGAGTACAGCATTTTGATCTCCCCCACCACTAAGGTGACAATGCTTTTGTGGCAATACAAGCACACATATTGGCAACTCCTATGAAATTGATGGCACCTAGTGGCTAGAACAGAAAGCTTCCGTGGCACATTTGCTTGCCAGCTTTTTCGAGCTAATCAGATTTTCACAGCCCTTGGCAGTCTAAAGTCGAAGCCGTGAAAGTAGGTTCAAAAACATGGGATGAAAATCGCCAATACCAACTATAATTGTGCGAAACAAAGCCACTCTGCTAGTCCAGTGGGTAGGGTACTGGATTACTGAGTGATTCAGTTCCCACTGAGGGGCACAGGCCTTTGTAAAGGCACCTGGCCGTGCTCTCACATTTTTGTTAAAAACATTTTGTGATGCTCTAGGCTTGGAAACCAGCCCTAAAGCACATTCTGTGTTAAAGCTGCTTTCCTACTAAAACTCTGCTGCAGTGGGCAGCAATGACTCACCACATTTCAGTATGATAAATTAAAGATCCAAAGATGCCTTCCTCCAAGGTTTCGTCGCGGCACTGTTATTTATGACAATAATTTTGTATGACACGGCATGCAAAACAACGAAGGCAGGAGAAAATTACACAGGACGAGCGCTGACCAGCGCTCGTCCTGTGTACTCATTCTCTCCTGTCTTCGCTGTTTTGCACAATTTCATATATGGCTTAACATGAACCAACTCGCCCACACTGCCACTCTAATTCCCTCATTTTATTGTGGAATGGTGCAGTTTAATATGAACACAGAGTTTGTTTCTGAAGAGGCACATGAAACTAAAAACCAGGCACTTTAAAGAAAGCAACAGAGTCAATCTAAAACAGACGTATATTTCCGCACCCTACTCCCACCTTACGCACGCTACTTTTCTCCTAACAGCTCCTTTTGCTTTGCTTTTGTCATCGTGTCCGCCTGTTCCACCGTATTCTCAGCTTCCATTTTCACCTGAAATAAAATTTGGCGAGGATATCACAACAGAGGCATTGAGCATTCAAAATGGTAATGTTCTGTAAGCCCTCGGTGCCTTCCGTTTGTCAGACCCTCGGCTGCTGACAGCGCGCAGCCACAGTCTCTTTATTGTATTAAAGTAATTACCCTTAGCGATTTCTCTATCTCTGCTCATTCTTCACACAAAGGTTTACTTAAAGGGGCACTGACAAATCAATATTGTATTTTGTTGTATTATACGAAACAATTAAAAATGATGCTGGACATCACCCTCAAGATTCTAAACTTGGGAACTCAGTATTTGTAAAGTAAAAAAACAATTTCCAAAAGTCGAATTTGAAGTTCCCGTGCGATCCGCGCCAGTGCAGTAACGACATTCATCCTGCAACTCGAGTTTCTCTCAAGCCTATAAACCGTCCAGACCCAAAGTGTCACGTTCGCCCTTGTCCAGCGATCAACCGCTCTTCTCTCTGCGTGCCGCCTATCGCTGTGAGCCAACAACGCTTCACTTTCGAGTTCGAAGTTCTTTTAGGGCCCTTTCAGCGATCTCAAACTATCTGAAACGTTGTGAGGTCGAAGAAAACACGCAGCGGACTTGTGTGAGCGACGTGAGGGGCAAATTGCGCCGTTTGTGTGTGAGAGGCTGCCCTGGCGGAGTCACACTGAAACTACGGTACACAGACACCAAAACCAGTTGTTTTGACCGTTTGACAATTTACTTTTCTAAGTCTGAGAGGTTGTCGGGCACACAAAAAAAAAGAGAACTTCTTCCGATTCCCCTACTCACCGATCCTCCTCAGTGCTATATGTACGGTGGCTGGAGCGCATCTCCGACAGGTGTGTTTAGCGTCCTATCTTGCTCATGCAACAAATGTGGTCCCAAAGTGGAAACAAATGACGTCACAGAAGCCGGAATGTCATGCTGTCGGATGTCGCAATCCTGGCGGTTGGTCGTGCAAATGCCGGCGAAAACCGCGAGTGAACGAGTGTCGCTGTTGTCGCGGTGTTTCAGCTCCTGGCTACCGACACTGCCATGGACTGTGACACTGCAGAGCGTCCTGCAGCCGAGCAAGCGTCCGCGACATACACCACTGCTGCTGGGACACCGCCAGAGTCGCGATCGGTGACAGCATGACGCTTCTACGACGTCACCAGGTGGAAATCGGGGGGCCACTTTTTTTGACACGGTAAACACACCAGACACCGTTTTACATGTGCCGAGCGCCGCCATGTTTTCCGGGGGAGGAAAAAAAGCCAGGAGGCGACATCAGTCCAGTCTCCGATTTTCGGTATTTCAAAAGTCATTCGCAATTGCGTTAAAAAGCATGTTTTACGAATGCCGCTACTAAATATAAAAAATGTTGCTTGCAAAGCTTCTAAATTTCATAATCGATTACGTCACAAATAAAAAGAAGCGAGGAGGTGAGAAGAAGGAGAGAAAAAAGCCAAAAATAAAAAGGGGAGCGTGTGCGCAAAAAAACTGGTTCTTGCGTTGCGGTATTGTTTTGCATGTCTATGACAACAACCTCCATTTTTTTTAGAAAACAAAGAAATATTACCTTAGGAGTGTCAGCCCCCCTCAAAGCACCCAACTACATGAAGGAATGGATAGATAAATATGGCTAACCGTTCAAGTCGGGTGACTGCTTGCGCCACCTAACCAGTGTCTTGGGAACACTTGGTATCATCTATACTCCCTTTCACCTTATCATGGACCACAGCAGACGTGCCGCAATATATACAGTGCTGTAAATGTGTCATGTGACTACTATGCACCCCGCACGTCACTGCGCCCACCCGCAAGGTCACGTAACATTCGCACGTCATTGGATTGGCTTCGATGGCTCGTAGCATCCTCTACAGTCCGTCGTAAGGTGAAACAAAATATATAGTGGCTCTAATAAAGTAAATTTCAATGTTGAGTTTCAACTAACTCCTGTAAACAAAATATATAGTGGATGTAATAGAGTAAATTTCAACGTTGAGTGTGGTACCACCGAGGGCTTGCTCCTGGGGCAATGGGAATATGTGAGGCATTTTAATTAAACTTCAACGCAGGGCCATAAGGCAACAGACAAGACGGCAGTTTGAGCATTGAAAGCTTGGAAAAACCAAGCATAGAATGAAAGGCCTTGTGGCTACCGAGAGTAAGACATAAATATTGCGCTCCATGCATCACAAAGTTGCGTAACAACATGCTCCAAAGTCGGGAAGAAATATTTTCAAGATTTTTGCTAAACTGTGGTCGTTTTACTGTAATCATTTTAGTTAGGTTTCATTTTTTTTTTTTATACTGCCAGTTTTTGTTTTGGACCACTGTAGGAATGGCTACAGAAATAACAATATGCAACAAAGAGGACACAATCAGAGTGGCAAACAATTTAAATTGCCATATTTAACATGCCACAAAGGTATAGCAAGAACACACCAAAGAATAAGAGAAGTCTCAGCTATGAGAGACCTAATGTTACTAAATGAGAATGAAAGGTTTGAAAATAATAAAGAAAGACAAACCTGTAGTGAAGCATTGTACACGACGTCTTCGGAGATGCCTAGCTTGTTTTTCTGGATTTCCTTCAAGTACTTGCGCTCAATCGCCACCAAATCTTCCTTTGCCTTGACGAACAGGGCCTTGGCATTCTTTGACAGCGTTTCTCTGTGTTCTCGAGTAACCCTGAAAGTGCCAGGTCTGTTGTCTGAGCGACCAACGTCAAGTAATGCACAAGGTCTTGACAGTTTAGCGTCGTGGATCAAAGTACCAGCTCTAAGGTAACACTGAAGTGAAATTTGGCCACATGCAGAGGACAGCTCCCAAGAAATATGAATGGGTTTGATTTTAAGAAGTGATCTCATAATTTAAAGTCATAACCTAGCGTGACAAAGCTAACGTTACGTCAATAAGAGATACAGCCGGGCAGTGGCAATTAAAGAAACACTGACACCCTCCAAAATGTTTTTCTTTGCAATGCAATTTTTATGGTGTTCGAACAATACCCAATTAATATTTTGCAACAGTGTCACATATACTTTTAATAAAGTCAAAATATGCAACTACTAGAAACCGAAACTGGACTGGGGCAGAAGAAGAAATATAGAAGAGGAGAAAGTTACCAAAAATCACGTAACTGCGCAACAATTTTTAATCTTTTTTTTTTTCAATTAACATATTTTGAGCTTTTTAGAAGTGTGTGCTTTCGGTGACCCACCACTTTGATTACCTTTGGTGACTGCGCCTAAACCATAGAAAACGGCTCGTGACCAAGAAGAAGAGAGTTAGCGCGACTCAAAGCGGCCAGTTCTCCGTCGGCGATTTTCAGGCGGAAAGAAAACAAATTTCGAGCCGCAAAATCTGTTCTGGGTACTTGGGCTCTCATGTGTCATGTATAAACAAAAACCTTGGCCACCATAAATGTCAGTGTCCCTTTATTGAGAACTCAACTAGCTCGGGCAGCGAATTCGAAAGGGAGGGGGAACAAAATATGAGAGGATGAAGGTGCCAGTTTGCGTGTCTTCAAAGAGAAGTCGCCAAGACTTCCTAGAAAGATCACCGTTTCCCGAGTTTTCTTTGTCTTCAAAGAGAGGTCGCCAAGACTTCCTAGAAAGATCACCGTTTCCCGAGCTTCCTGTTGAAGTGTCGAAATATGTCTACCGTCAGATACCTAGTGTGCAGCCCGTGTCGTGATAAGTACTCGCACTGGCAAACTTCAGAGCCCACCAAGCTGACTGATGTGTACCTTTGTCTCGGACGCTTCTCCAAGAAGCCGGTACCGGGCAGTAAAGCTTTACGCACGTGCGCCAGTGAAAAGCGGGCTTGACGAGAGCGACTCAGTCGCTTCGAATATTAGGAGCTATACCGGACTCCTATACTGCTCTGTCGGATCAAACAAGGGCCTCCTCTACCGCATGGGCATTCTGTCTTTCTGCTCCTGGACAAAAAAGCTGGTTCACATGTCTGCATGACACTGGTGCCATCTATCTGGCAACCGTGGAACACTTCCAACCTGCATGTATTTCTTTATTGTCAAGAAATTATTCTTTCACCAAGATGGTGAAAGTTTGTTCTCTCGCTGGAAGCGGCTGCAAAGCAGTTAATCCCACTCAGATGCAGACGTGTGAACCAACCTTTACAAACAACGCAGTGTCTAGCATTACGTTCGACGGAACCCGAAATAAAAATTAAAGTTACGTCCGACGTAACTTTACGTAAGGATTCGAGTTACGTCCGACGTAACCTAATATATAAATTAAATTTACGTCCGACGGAACTCCAAATAAATATTAAAGTTACGTCCGACGTAATCATCCCAATTTTTTTTTTTTTCATGATTTTTTTTTTTTTTTTTTTTTAGTTTTAAGGTGGACTTAGTATTTTATGATATTTTAAACTAGAATGCTCCAGACGTTTGTTAAATGTGACTAATTGCTCGGTTAATCGCTGTGCCAGAGGCTCAAGGAGGCTTACTTTGGCAAATGACAAAAAACTGTGGTCCCGTCTTGCTGAGTAGATATGTTCATGCCGGATTCCTGGATGGCCTTCAAAGCGGCCTTGATCGCCTGTGTGTGAAAGTAACATCGAAGTGATGTGAAACCTGGGACACAAAAACGGGGGGGGGGGGGCACAACGTGCCGATTGAGCGAGCTTTTAACAATCACTTACGTCAGGAAAGCTTGCCATGTTGAGCACAATGAGTTGAGCACTCTTTTTGGAGATCTGAGCTACCTCGGCCAAGGAGTACTCTTGGCTGTCAACGTGAACCCGAATTTTGTCGATGTTCCCTAAAGAAGAAAACAAAAATGTAAGCGTTGTTACGGAAAGGACGAAAAGTCAAAATGTGACAACTTAGTCAAAGCAGGATTAGGTGCAGTAGGAGAATTGGGGAATTGAAAACTCCCCAAACTCCCCTCGCATGCAAATTATATTCGAGTGCCTTCTTTCTCTGCTGTCCGAGCATCGCCATATGTGGGGGAGGCTCCTTTCTTAAGAGCAGCGTTTCCCAAACTCGAGGTGCCCAGACTTTAGCAGGGAGTAGCCAAAAACGTCACCCGCCGAGTGCCCCCTTATTCCCACTCTAAACGTGTCTGCCGCCTTGAATTTGTATTTGTTTTTTTAATACACGTGGAACTCAATACTGCATTTTGTCTGCGAGCAAGTAAAAAAGCAGGTATACTGCTAGAAGAGAAACTAATGGAAAAGGTATCATTTTTAAGAAGACTAATCCCTCTATCCTATTTTCTCCCTACAAGTTTGGAAATATTTTCGGTCATGTCAAAGTTTGCACCCAGAAACACTCTGCCTCCGCTTACTTTTTGTTGTGTGTATTCCTAACATTCGTGTAGTAGCACCTCTTCACTTTCTTATTCAAGAATTCAAAAACAGTCAGATCAAATAAATGTAGACATCAGTCAGTGCTTGTCTGTTGATGATGATGATTAAGTGTACATCTGTGTAGTAGCACCTCCTCACTTTCTTTTTAAAGAATTCAAAAACAGTCAGATCAAATAAATGTAGACATCAGTCAGTGCTTGGCTGTTGATGATAATGATTAGATGTATTATTGCACAAAAGTGGTACAAGCTATATCAAAGCTTGGTTTCAGCACTTAAAGGGGCCCTGCAACATTTTTTTGTCTGGTTTTTAATTCGCATTGATCCTGAGCGCACTGAACGTAGTAACTTAATGAAGCTTTTCTTTTCTCAAATTTCGCATTATTTTAAAAGTTATAGGTAAATTAGAATTACAAAAACAAGCAAAAATAACCTCCTTCATGACGTCGTAGATCCTGGCTTGAGCGGCCGTGAACTAGAGGAGGGCTAGTGAACTCATCGAGCGCTCACGGCTACCGCACTCCGTGTTGACGGCTCGAGAGGGCGCCACTAAAGCATGTGTTGGATAGGCTGTATGAAGCGGGCGACCAGGGCGACTCGCATTGCATTTGCTTCACGAATAGAGACTAATTTGGCATAACACTTCATTGGCCACAAACGACAGCAAACATGAAGTAAATATCAGTTCAGAACGGGAGCCACATCGCACTGCCATACAGCCAAATGGCAAAATCGCCAGCCAAGCCCGCTCCGAAAGCCTTCAAAACGCTCAGAACTGGTCGGATCCCACAGCCGGTATACGACCACAGCGCTGCCGCGTACATCCGAGACCTTTTTACGCTCGCTGTTCGTCGGCGCCTCATCCCACTACCCCTTTCTAGTAAGCGCCATTTTTTTCCGCCGCTTGGTGGTGGGTATGTCGACGGGTCATTTTTTGTTTCCGTACTTTATAAACTTCATTTGTTTCTTTTCTGATCTAAAATACTGAACAAAAACTACTTTCATACATAACTGAAACGGTTCGCGACACATATATTTTGTATCTCGACTAAAAAAAAAATTTTAGCGGTTCTGACCAGTAGTAAGCCCAGGACCAAAGACGTCACATATTGCGCGCTTTTGGCAACGCAGGTCGCCCTCGTAGGTGGAGGAGGTTTCCGCGTCGTCCGGTTAAAATATGACGCACCGATATTTAGTTACTCTCTCCGTGCCCACTGGCTTGCCCGAACCCCAAGAGACGTGGAAACCGCAAAAAAGGTAGACGCTTAAATGTGATTGCAGGGCCCCTTTAATAGCTCAGACCTCAGCCCAAACTTGCAAATCCTCAATGCTTTTTTTTTTTTTTTTTTTTGCCAAGCTATGTTGTTTAAGGAAATAATCATGAGCTGGTGTGAAGGTCGATGACCAGCAAAGCTGTTTCGCACACGTCACAGACCCGCCCCAACGAGCCAAAGGAAACCAGACAGGCGCGACGGGACCGCTACTCCGGGAGAGCAGAAAGAAACGAAACTAGGCACGCAAGCGCTTGGAACGACGACAAAAAAAGGGCAATGCGAGCGTAGACATGGCTGACACAGGTTGCAGAGCGGCAAATCTTTGAAAAACCTTTATTATCGGCCTGAGAGTCTACTGATCTTGAAAATGGTGCCTATTGATAACTTATCTACCGAATAGACCTATTGCTAAATTACCGAAGCACCGAGGAGAATGCAGCGAATGGAGCTCCACGCGCTGCACGTGCCGGCGTCTGTAGCAGTAACTGTTCTAAAGCAAAAGCCTAAAACAAATGGCATCTTAAACGCGCGTTCGTCAATGCTTTATTTTGGTTATTTACTTCAAATCTTTTATATGCAGAAGGTGTGCATGTGCGGTGGCGCGAGCAAACAGTTTTTAGTCACTGCACACAAAACATCCACGGAACCCTAGCCATAAACAGCTTCGCTGCAAAAAACACCATGACTTTCCAGAATGTTGCACTCCAGTTTTGGAACCCCTGCTTGTGTTTGGTTCAGACTACCACACAAATGTGGCATGAAACAGCTGCACAGTTAAAAATCTGAATAGTAGAGTATAAAAACAACAGCAACAAACTTTCTGTCGCACTGCAGGACTCCGGTTTAGCATGAAATTTGATGCAATGTGACCAGACGTCACGGGACCTAAAAAACAAACTCGGTTTCCCCACTAAATTTAGTGGAAACATTGACATTACATGACCTATACACCAATTTGGTTTCCCCGCTACAATTATCAAGAAATTCGATGTCACATGACTTATATACCAATTCAGTTTTCCAATAAATTTAGCAGAAAATTCGATGTAACGTGACCTGACGTAACGGCAACTACAAACCAATTCAGTTTCCCCGCTAAATTTAACAGAAAAAATGACATCACATGAATTATACACTGGTTCAGTTTCCCCGCTAAATTTAGCGTGAAATTTGATGCAATGTGACCGGACGTCACGGGACCTAAAAAACAAACTCGGTTTCCCCACTAAATTTAGTGGAAACATTGACATCACATGACCTATACACCAATTTGGTTTCCCCGCTACAATTATCGGGAAATTCGATGTCACATGACTTATATACCAATTCAGTTTTCCAATAAATTTAGCAGAAAATTCGATGTAACGTGACCTGACGTAACGGCAACTACAAACCAATTCAGTTTCCCCGCTAAATTTAGCAGAAAAAATGACATCACATGAATTATACACTGGTTCAGTTTCCCCGCTAAATTTAGCGTGAAATTTGATGCAATGTGACCGGACGTCACGGGACCTAAAAAACAAACTCGGTTTTCCCACTAAATTTAGTGGAAACATTGACATCACATGACCTATACACCAATTTGGTTTCCCCGCTAAAATTATCGGAAAATTCGATGTCACATGACTTATATACCAATTCAGTTTTCCAATCAATTTAGCAGAAAATTCGATGTAACGTGACCTGACGTAACGGCAACTACAAACCAATTCAGTTCCCCCGCTAAATTTAGCAGAAAAAATGACATCACATGAATTATACACTGGTTCAGTTTCCCCGCTAAATTTAGCGTGAAATTTGATGCAACGTGACCGGACGTCACGGGACCTAAAAAACAAACTCGGTTTCCCCACTAAATTTAGTGGAAACATTGACATCACATGACCTATACACCAATTTGGTTTCCTCGCTACAATTATCAAGATATTCGATGTCACATGACTTATATACCAATTCAGTTTTCCAATAAATTTAGCAGAAAATTCGATGTAACGTGACCTGACGTAACGGCAACTACAAACCAATTCAGTTTCCCCGCTAAATTTAGCAGAAAAAATGACATCACATGAATTATACACTGGTTCAGTTTCCCCGCTAAATTTAGCGTGAAATTTGATGCAATGTGACCGGACGTCACGGGACCTAAAAAACAAACTCGGTTTTCCCACTAAATTTAGTGGAAACATTGACATGACATGACCTATACACCAATTTGGTTTCCCCGCTAAAATTATCGGAAAATTCGATGTCACATGACTTATATACCAACTCAGTTTTCCAATAAATTTAGCAGAAAATTCGATGTAACGTGACCTGACGTAACGGCAACTACAAACCAATTCAGTTCCCCCGCTAAATTTAGCAGAAAAAATGACATCACATGAATTATACACTGGTTCAGTTTCCCCGATAAATTTAGCGTGAAATTTGATGCAATGTGACCGGACGTCACGGGACCTAAAAAACAAACTTGGTTTCCCCACTAAATTTAGTGGAAACATTGACATCACATGACCTATACACCAATTTGGTTTCCCCGCTACAATTATCAAGATATTCGATGTCACATGACTTATATACCAATTCAGTTTTCCAATAAATTTAGCAGAAAATTCGATGTAACGTGACCTGACGTAACGGCAACTACAAACCAATTCAGTTTCCCCGCTAAATTTAGCAGAAAAAATGACATCACATGAATTATACACTGGTTCAGTTTCCCCGCTAAATTTAGCGTGAAATTTGATGCAATGTGACCGGACGTCACGGGACCTAAAAAACAAACTCGGTTTCCCCACTAAATTTAGTGGAAACATTGACATCACATGACCTATACACCAATTTGGTTTCCCCGCTACAATTATCGGGAAATTCGATGTCACATGACTTATATACCAATTCAGTTTTCCAATAAATTTAGCAGAAAATTCGATGTAACGTGACCTGACGTAACGGCAACTACAAACCAATTCAGTTTCCCCGCTAAATTTAGCAGAAAAAATGACATCACATGAATTATACACTGGTTCAGTTTCCCCGCTAAATTTAGCGTGAAATTTGATGCAATGTGACCGGACGTCACGGGACCTAAAAAACAAACTCGGTTTCCCCACTAAATTTAGTGGAAACATTGACATCAGATAACCTACACACCAATTTAGTTTCCCCGCTAAAATTATCGGAAAATTCGATGTCACATGACTTATACACCAATTCAGTTTTCCAATAAATTTGGCAGAAACTTCGATGTAACGTGACCTGACGTAACGGCACCTACAAACCAGTTCAGTTTCCCCGCTAAATTTAGCAGAAAAAATGACATCACATGAATTATACACTGTTCAGTTTCCCCGCTAAATTTAGCGTGAAATTCGATGCAATGTGACCGGACGTCACGGGACCTAAAAAACAAATTTGGTTTCCCCACTAAATTTAGTGGAAACATTGACATCACATGACCTATACACCAATTTGGTTTCCCCGCTAAAATTATCGGAAAATTCGATGTCACATGACTTATACACCAATTCAGTTTTCCAATAAATTTAGCAGAAAATTCGATGTAACGTGACCTGACGTAACGGCACCTACAAACCAATTCAGTTCCCCCGCTATTCGCGACTCCAGCGACCTATAGGGGGCGCCACCACCAAACAAACATGGCGGCTGAGTCCAGGTCGCGTCGGCTCGGCCGGGCTGCCTGAACAGGTGGCGCGTTCAATTTAACAGATTTCCTTTTGTTTAATGCCCGATTTTATAGGTATTTGAACTGAGACGGTTAAGTGCAGCCGGTGCGCATAAACTTGCAAAGCATGGTTTTGTTTTCCCGGTGTTTTTTGTTCTTTTCATGTCAAACTTTCGTTTCGGAGATTTCGTTCAAAACCGAAACTATGGGCTCCGGAGAGGCGGTAAAATACTAATCAGTTTTGATCATCTAAGGAAAGTGGCAGTGACAACATAATTCTTCCACCGAGAGTAATTTTCAACTAACTCAGATGCCTCGACCATGCGACTTCTCTGTCCGCGAAATCGAGCTTTTGTGCGTATCCGCGTTTAAGAAACAGCTCCAGTCGTCTGCTCGGTCAACCACACAGGCTGCAGGAAAATTACGAAAATTAAGCAATCGCTCCTTGAGCCAAGGAGCATGTTCACCCGCCAGCACCCCACTAACCAGCTGATACTCGTATTTCAATTCAGGTTTTAGTAGCAATCGAGAAGTCATTTTGACGAGCGGGTTATGTATTATATTACGTACTATGTCCCACTAAAACGATATTAGTATATATTTCGGGTTGAAATATGAGCTTAGTTGACTAGATATTAGGTGAACTGCCGAATAAAAGTCTATTTGACAGACAGAGACATACTACTTAAACTTAGCCAAATGGTTCTAGCCGGCAGCATGGAGACAAACTGAAGAGTCTTCATTGGAGTTCACTGAACGGAGAAAAGAAGTATTTTTTTTTTTTTTTTTTTTGTGGTTGGTCAATTTGAGCAATGTAGACATATATTGCTGCTGGCTTTGACGGAGGTATAATATAAATATTGGAGGCGCGATAGATCAAAATGCAGTGACAGCTTCTAACGTTGCAAGACGCGTCCCCCGCCTTTTGAAAACAGATAATTTCCCTCATTCATCATTTGCAGCGAGCAGGTTTTCCTGAATCAAGTAATTTCGAAATCAGCCCAACTCTTTCACTGGTGGTCCAGAGGCTTTTTCGATGAAAAGCAGCCAAGATGGATAGCCAACGCACCGACCAGCGTGGGTGGCTCAAACTTGAAGCTAATCGAACACAACCAAACTCAACAAAAGCACCTATCGAACCTTCCCATTCACTTGACTGCAACATTGGTGTTCCCTCCAGTGAAATGCCTGGTCTGTCGTCCTCAGTCCACTGTTCTACATCCTTATAAAGAAACACTTTATCAGTTACCAAGTAGTCGTCACTTTGAATCTGATTCGAGACAGACAAGAAATCAAAACGTTTTTCCGTGGTTCCTCCCCCTCCAAGAAATCGAAAGCACGTGACCGTGTGTTGTGGAGTAAACGGGCTTTCAAACACGTGATGGAAGGAAACAACCTACTGAGGCTTCACCACACTGATTAACACTCAGGCGGACCTTCGTGAAATTACACTGTACGCCATCGCGCCGACAACACCTGTCCGCGAAAGCCACCAGAGACGCGGAGGGGCGCGGAGCGACCTGGACCGGCTGGTTCCCGGTTTTCCCGCTTGGCGGCGTCCGTTTTGCTGGAGTCGCGAATATTTTGAGGGAAATGCGATGTCACGTGACCTGCCGCTACAAGACCTACACACCAATTCAGTTTCCCTGCTATATTTAGCGGAAAAATTGTTGTCATGTGATCACACATCAACCTCTAGGGCTCTAGGCCATAAAGGTTGCCCTAGAGGTCGTCCTTGAGGTCGTCCTAGGCGTTGTCCTGGAGGTCGTCCTAGACGTTAACGTTGTCCTTTAAGTCGTCCCAGGCGCCGTCTAGGACACCGTCCATGGCCTCGTAACAAAAGAAGGAGGTAAACATGACGAACGCTATCGCAATTCATAGACTACTAACAAAAATAATTTCTGCAGTCAATTTTTTTTTTGGCCTAGAGACAAGCACAATAATCTGAATCTGCTCGACGAATCAGCTCTGTTGTTTATGAACCACTTGTCATACTTCACGCCTTCCAAAAAGTAGATAACTACAGTCGGTTACAAGTCAAGGAGGTAGGAGAAGCTCCTCCCACAAGCGTGATGCGCCCATTTCAAATCTCTCCACAGTCGAAAGAAGAGTTCACTGAAAACGCTCCTTGTTCCGCTTCAATAGATTCCAACTTGTCTCCCATCCCACTTTTTAAGAAAGCGACCTTTGTATTCATTGAAGGGGGAACCGAGCCCCTGAAAGCAGCCTTTGTATCCATCGGAGGGGGAAGCTAATCCCCGAAAGTCGTATTTGTTTCCATCGGAGGGGGAAAACTCTAATCTCCCTCTCGCGGCTTCCACAATGCTAAGTCAAAGTTAAAGGATAAAGCAAATATGCACAAAAAGCAAGACCCTCCTCGCGTGTTGGCTGCAACGTCACGGAAACGATGGGATGCTATTGGATACAGAGGTGGCGGAGGGATCTATGATTCCGTTGGAGAGGCATTTGCCGCTACCTTCTTGACCTGTAGCCGACTATACAAAATTAAGAAAAATTGGCTACAGAAACCAGTACTGTTGGTTGTCTATGAATTGCAATAGCATTCATCATGTTTACCTCTTTCTTTTGTTACGAGGCCATGGACGCCGTCGAGGATGACGTTAAGAACGACATCTAGGACGACCTCACATATGATTTCTAGGCAATGTCTAGGGCCTACAGCCCTAGAAATTGATGTGCAATCATGTGACATCAAATTTTCCACTAAATATAGCACGGAAACTGAATTTGTCTGTAGGTACCGTGACATCAGGTCACATTACATTGAATTTTCTGCTAAAATTAGTGGGAAAACTGAATTGGTGTATAAGTCATGTGACATCAATTTTCCTGCTAAATTTAGCGGAGAAACAGAATTGGTATGTAGATCCCGTGACGTTATGTCACCTGACATCAAATTTCCCGCTAAATTTAGCAAGAAAAGTGAATTGGTGCACAGGTCACATGACACAATGTTTTCTGCTAAATTTAGCGGGGAACCTGAATTTGTCTCTACGTCCCGCGATGTCGGGTCACGTGACATTTTTTTCTCGCCAAATTTAGTGGGAAAACTGCTTATTTTTCTTTACGCTCACACCGTCACGAAACCGGGGGCCAAGCCACTAAAAACTGCTGCTGTAGAATTTTTTTGTTGTTGTTGTTGTTTTTTTCACTTGAGACTAAGATTAAGCGTGTGAGTATGAGACCTGGGAACACCACCAGCTTCTACAAAATGCAACTCTTATTTTTTATTTTTATTCCCGCTGATTTTCGAAACATGAGGACACAACAAGGAAACCCTTAAGGGATAGAGCTACGGGGATAAAGATTTATTATGACCAAACCATTTCAATTCCAATACTGAATACTGAATAATTGAACATATATATATATATAACTGAATAACCGAGAAGCTTATTTAGTTATTCGAATACCCAGTTTCCAACTTCGAATAATTCACTAATTCGAATAACCGGATAATCGGTTATCTCCAAAACTGCTTTCTACTGCTGGCACTAGTGGGAAGTTAAAGGGCTACTCCACCGATTTTTTCATTGTCTCCGATTTGCTTGAAATTTTGCTAAACTAACCAACAAACATCGCGACAATAGTATCCCAAATATTAGGTCAGAATATTGTTTTTTCGCGAAGTTATTGAATTTACAGTTTTGGTCCTCACCGTGTTTTTCAAGCTCGAAGTCTCTACTGGCAACAACGAAAAAGTGACGTCAGTGGAAGGCAGGGGTTCACTCTTTGGGCTGTAGATTTTGTTTTAAACTGATTCGAAGGAGTTTCATGGTGTCAAATGAATGCTTGGGAAGCTCGCTGCAGTACCCTCGCTCCAGCACGGAACGAATGATTGGCATATTCTATTTTTTGGCTGCTTGCTCGACTGGCAAGCCTGCCTGCCACTGACGTCACGGCCCCGAAAAGCGCGCGTATATTTGAATGTTGGTTTTTGCATCATTTTCATTTGCTGATTTCACAATAACTATTATGAATTTCGCGATTCTAAATAGCATACCGGAGAGAGTAAAGGCCGGGGAGTCAGAAAATATAGTTAGTTGAGGTAGCTCAAAAAATCGGTGGAGTACCCCTTTAAAGCAAAATCCACCCTACAAATGCTGCAAGCTTGCTGGAGAGTTTGTTGGCACATAAACTTGCTTGGTTGAGTACATAATCTCACTGCAAAGATGGTGCCGTGTGGTCATCAGTTTGAACTTTGATGCTGCTGTCATGCGACCGTTTGCTGCCAACATGTATGCTACATTTGATGCCCCCCCCTCAAATATAATTTCTTGGTAGAGTGCCTCAGCTTAATTACAACAAAATGTTTGGGAATGTCTGTGCTCTGACCATCTATCCATTATCAGCTTCAAGCTCCAGTTTAATAGTTCATCCAACATTTTAAACAAACTGTGCTTAAAAAGACGTTGACCATAAGGTTCACCTGCGACAGAATGCAGAGAAAGGTGCTTGACGAAGCTGTCTTGTAGCCTCTGCAAAACCTTCTGCATTTCGGAGCGAAACTGCTGGATTCGCACCACTTCGGAGAGCTCCTCGTCGGACAGTGAAACCTTGGGCTTGGCATCCTTGGCTGCAGATTGTTTTAAACACAGAACAGCATTCAGACTTTTTGCATATCTGTATCTACACTACCAGAAGAATTGTATCGGATTTCGTATTAGCTGCTATGACTCTGCGACATCACCCAACCACAGTGGCACATTCTCCGCCCGATCTTCCTTCCTCCTCCACACTGCTGCATAAAAGAACATGCACATGAATAAGGCTGTTTGTTTCTGGTCGCTTGCAGCATCGCTGTAACTACAGCCCTGCATGGACAACAGTTTTATCACCTGCGTCCGATCCCTTGTATCCGCACCCGAACTGCATCCACAATGTAGTTAAATTATTTTATCCGCGCCCAATCCGCATACTTTGCATCCACATCCGAACCCCATCTGCACAATTCAAAACCGCATCTGACCAGCAATCTATGGATTCATTATGAAATCGAGCATGAACAAAAAAGATGGTAGTTTTAAGCCGTTTGCTTATCTTGCACAGAGAACTCTAAGTTAGAATATGATCAGTTTGTTTGTTTGTTTTATTATTATTATATTTGGTTTTATTGTATTAATAAATGTTATAAGTGATCGCCCTTCCAGAGACATTTTGCGTTGCTGGAAAAGTGACCGCAGTTATGAGATTGTCCTGGGAGTCTGCGACACTCTGCTCAGAAATTGCGCTCAAAGAGAAGCAAGTTTTAATATTTTATTCTGTTTGCTTTTTTTGCTTTGAGACAATTATTTCAAGCAGACGTGTATTTTCTAAAGATGAAAATTAACAAAGGACAAACTAATAATACTGTCTTATTTAACTTAGGTCAGACAATAAAAAAGTTGGAGAAAAGGTGGTCACTCACCGCAGTGAAGTACCCCTCCTCATATTTAGGTGGTATATCACACCATCCAATCATGGCAACACCCACTATCAGTTTCAGTTTCAGTTTCAAACGAACCCACAACTGCATGCTCTGAACCACACACTTAGCAACAAGTTGCAGACTGTCGAGAGAGAAAAAGAAGCGCACACATGACGACTGGGGAAGGAGGCTCCTATTTTCTTGTGGCTCATACGATTTGGGTTTCCTTTGCCCAAAGAACGTTTCCTGCTCCTTCAGTTAATTTTCTCTGCTCCTCTCTCTCTTGCTGGTGTCGTTGAGAGAGGCTGAAGATCTTCGTTGGGTTGCCGCCGATCTGATGATGGCAACCCCCAATTCCGCCTTGGCCAACGGAGATGTAGTGGCAGAGGGACACCCAGGTGAAGGTTACGAATATATATATATGATTTATTTACATATATAGTTACGGACTGGGTTACAGATCTTAGGAGCTACGCGAGACCTCTCGGAGTCCTGGTGGCGTCTTGCCCCCTCCGACGCTCAGCGTAAACTGCCTTCCTCTTTCCCGCGCGCCCCCAAAATTCCAGGGATCGTCCCCACTTTCCCGGGCGTCTGGTCAGCATCGCTTGTCACCTCGCCAGGTCGCTCCGCACCCCCCGCCGTGTCGTTCCGACCCGGCGGTTCTTCTCGCCGACTCCCCACATTTCCAACCCTGGTGCCCGAGATTCGGGTTACTTCGGAATTCGTTAATTGCCGTCGCGTCCGGGACTCGTAAACCATTGCGGGCCCCCTGTTTTCTTTTGAGCCCGTCACAAAAAAACCATACAAGAATATATATAAACAGAACACAGTTTCCCCGAAAGTCCTGGGACCTAACACCTTCCCTGCCAAACAAGAGCATGCTTTCCCAGGGCAATTGATGCCCCTGCATAGACAGCATTTTTGGCAAGATAGAACGCTCTAAATTCAATCTTTGGTCAGAATCAGAATGCACTTCATTGTATAACTCACTTATTCACTCTACACCTTGCAGTCCCATGCGTTTATCGCCCGCCTCAGCAAAAACATAGATCCAGATCCAATCCACATGCACAGCCCCTGGCAACCGCATCCGATCCAAAATCTGGTTCATTTTTATCCGCGTCATCCAGTTGACTGCAGATATCTGAGGATGATCCGACGGTAATCTGCAGATATTTAGGGCTCTAGCTGTAACAGGAGCAATGAGGATTGGATGGCCACAACAAAGTCTTGGAGACCTACGAGCCACTGTGCCTGAGTGGCATCACAGTCATCGCAATAGCTACAAACAAACAGATGGAAAGAAATGGGCCTAAATAACACTGGAACTAATCGCAAAGAATCTTCACATGCTGCCAATGTGTCCCATGCCGGCAAAGAAACAAAAAATATATTAATTAAAAAACTTGGGCTGGTTAATGAGCCCCATTACAGGAAAAGAAATGGCACAAAAACTTGATGTAGCCGGCCTGTACAAAGGCAGAGTCTTCGAGGAAGGCAAGACATCCTCTTCCATGGGCGGAGCTTCTAGAAGGTAGGGGTGCAACCTCCTTCCCCGGGGGGTGGGGCTTCTGAGAGGTACACGAATGGAGCGGCGTTGCGGGTTTCTCTTTTAGGGGCGGGGCTTACGGGGGATTCTATGGATGGAGCGGCGACACGCCCCGTGCTGCCAGTGCCTGGACTTGGCGACTGTTGCCGTGTGTGCCCCTCTCCTTACAACGCGCTTACAGTGCTGGACTTTCATTGTCGTCGTTGTGATCTGTACCCAGCGCATTCCATAGGGAATGGTCAGAGTAGCAAGGAAAGCAGCACAAGAGGGGAGCGTGCCTTGCACTGTCTGATCCGGGCAGTGCGCTCATTTTGTTATACCCGGCAGTGGCGCCCTCACGTGTTCAGGTTCATAATATCACACTCCTCTCACCCCTAAGAAATGCACGTTAATAACAATCCCAAACCCACGAAAAATTTGTTAAACAAGCAGTAGCACTCGGAGGTTAAGGGGAGTAACGCAGCACTGGCAGACGCTCCCTGGTGCCTCGATGAGGAGGCGGGGTCTCGCTTGATTCTTCAAAAATGTTGCATACATGTCGCTTACGAATGCTGGCCCATTTGTCTGGCAGGCCCTGGCTCGCAAGCATGACTAGCAGGCACGCGATGGTAGTCTCTGCTGATGGCGTTGACACAAGGAACACCTCAATCCACTTAGAGAATGTGTCTGCTAAGATAAAAAAAAAGTGCTCGTTTGGTCCAGCGTAGTTTAAGTACACACGGAGTCTCGACCAGGGCCTGTCGAGGAATGGCCATAGCATGACTGGTATCGGCCGCGACGACCTCTGTTGCTCCTGGCAGATGAGGTACTCCTGAATTGTAGCCACAATGTCATTGTCCATCATAGACCACCAAACGTGGCTCCGCACAACAACTTTCGTCTTTGACACTTAACCCCCCACCACTTCCCTGGATGGCTCTCATGAAGAAGCCTCGGGACGTCATCTTGGAGTGGTACAGGAACTAACACATGGTTGCCCCAGAGCACACAGTTCTCTAGTACACTCATCTCAGTGAAGCGAGTTTATAAGGCTTCCCCTCAGGTCCAAAGTCCAGTCAACCGCCGGTCCACAGTTTCCCTCACTCGTGAAACCACCAGGTCCCTGGCAGTGACCTCTGCAACGGCAGTAGATGACGACACTCGTGGGTATACTTCCGCCAGCATAAAGACGTCGGCAGGGCAGTCCACGGGAAAGTCGGTTGTGGGCAGCGGCAGGAGACTCACTCCGTCTGTATGGGCGATGCGATGAAAACACTGGCGGGCTACTGTTCTCGCCGATGCCGAGAAAAAATATCTGAAGCTGGCCACCACCTCAGACAATCGGTGAGTAATGCTTGTCCAGGACATCTAAAATTTCAGCCGAGGAGGTATCAGCAGGCTTCGTAGGGGCGAGCAGGCTCCGCAGCAACGAGCATGTCTCTGACCCGCAGCACGTCAAGAACACAGCGGTCTCTTTCGTCTCGGCAATGCCGTTTGCCACGAAGTACAATGCAACACATTCGCAATATTAAATCGAATCCGACGTAGCCTCGTCGAATGGCTCTACCTTTCCGATGGCCGCCATGGTTGCTCTCATGAATTTGAAGCGAACGCTGTGTATTGCTTGTCGCTAGTTGTGATTCTCTCTACCCTGAGCATTCCTCGGAGAATGGCCAGTGCGGCCAGGAACAACAGCACGAGACGGGAGCGTGCCCCGCACCGTCTGGTCCAGGCAGTGCACGCATTTCATTTTACCTGGCAGTGGCGCCCTCACGTGTCCAGTTTCATATCACAGTCATGTATGTGCATGTCCGTACTCGTCACTAGGCCCAAATCATTGGAGCAACACCGTGTCTTGCGCTCAGAGGCATGCGGTTTAGAGAAGCTTGTTTTACCGACCACAGTTTATTGAATCCCTTTATAAAAAAAAAGCCCAATTCAGAGAAAAAGGCAAAAAGCCTCCTTTTAGCGAATCAGCCATCGTGAAGCAGTGTGTACAGGTCTGCCAGGCTGGTTAGCATTTTTGTAATGAGTCACCGTAGATCGTCGGCACGAAGAGGCATGAATGAAGGGGGGTGGGTGGATTAACGCGTTCCAGTGATACACGCAAGTAGGGGAGCCTTTTTTTTTTTAAAAAACAGCGTCCTTTTCGATAAACGGCCTTTCTCTAAACTGAGGCTTGACGGCGCTCGAAAGGTTTGGGCTTAATGACGGGTACGGACACATGCACACACGGCGATGACGACGAGTCCGGCACTGTCAGCGCAGCGCGGGGCAAGGACCTTCACACCACAACGCCGCTCCATCCACAGAATCCCCCACAAGCCCAGCCCCTAGGAGAGAAACTCGTGACACCGCTCTGTTCAAGTACCTTCCATAAGCCCAGCCCCTGGAGGAAGAGGCCCAGCCTCCCACGTTTCAGAAGCCCCGCCCCTCTCAGAGGCTCCGCCCTTGTACATGCCTGCAACATCAATACCTAGATGTAGACAGAAGTATCTGATTGGATTGACAGTGTTTGTGTTAATTTTGGCTGCTAGAATCGCTACAAAGGTCGCATCCCGTTTTACGGCATTTTGCGTGTATTCGAAACTTGCCAGAATGCTTTGGACGGTTGGCGCCTTTGGCATAGTTACGGGTGCTGACGACTGTGGGGAAGTACTGGGAGTTTGTCTCCTGGCCGGGACGGCTGCTCAACGTTGACGTCTGTAGCTTGTATCCAGCACTGCACCTCTGTGCAATGAGTCGCAGTCTGTAAGCCAGCTGAAGCTGGCACCTCAGGCTCATTGTTGAAACTTGGCTGCGTAAGGAAAGTGAGAGGAATCAATGCTCACAGAAATTTCTTACAAATGTCGTTACTCGGTAAGAGTACATGTAAACAAATTTGTGGATTTCCGACTCTCGAACGCGCTATTGACAACGTTGCCAAAAGAGATAAAAGTGTTTAACCATTCCCCATAATCGTGCCAAGCCGGAAACCTTTTCCATTAGAGACCGAATAGAACGAGACTCAAAACACGCCGCGATGGTATGATTCATGTGCTAAAATTATATCAAATTGAGGAATACCGCTCTCAGCAACGTGCGCCTCACGGGGATACGGGTGGAGTTGCTCGACTGACCCGCTAAAAAAACAAACGGAGTCGAGCAAACGTGGTTGGTGCGATTCGCCGCTTAGGAACAGAAGATGGCGTTACCGTTCTTTACAGAACGTAACTAGTCAGGGAAGGCTAAAACCTTACCAAAAATAACAAAAAACTAAAGAACCGTGGTAGAAAGATCCGTAAAAATTAGTACTGATCTAGACTTCAAAAGGTAAGAAAATTAAAATAAACTACTGTTTTACAGAAGCTTCTACCAGCTCCATCTTGCGGAGTCTTTTTGCAAAAATTCCCGCGCAGGTTGCGAAGGTCAGGTCAGGGGAAAGCCCTTGATTGCCTTGATCTTGCGTTTCTGGTCGGGATAAATGCGGAGGAGGATGCAAAATTGTTACCGAACATGCCGAGTCGGCTAAAGTTTCACTCGTGCAAGGCCTCCACTGCCCCCACAACCTCGACCTGCGGTCCCACTGATGCCGCATTTTGTAAGTGAATTGATAACGATCCGTACCGCGTGAACGTTGTATTTCAAAATGTGCCTTTTCGAGAACCAGCGTGCTTACACAATGAGATCTCTTGCTCTTGAGATTCCCTGTTTATACGTCATTGTCAGACCACAGGTCAGTTCCCTGTGAAACATTTTATTGTGAACTTCGGGCTTCGAGCTCGTAGGTTCGGACAAATTCGGAACAACCGATCGCTGCCAAACTCGTTCCGGGGGTGGTCTGCCTGCTGCGTAAAAACTTGAGTGTGGAAAATAAAAGGAGCTAATCCTTGAACAATGTCTACCCCATATTACGTATGCGTTTTCTAAGCGAGTGCAATGGTTTTGGAAAAACTACGTGTAATTCCCTCGAAACACGTTTGGCGACGAAATTGCTACGCATTTGCAGTGCTTCTGGGCAAATGCTGAATCTGACGTCATGATCGTGGTAGAGAAATACACAAATATATATATATCTGATTTGACAAGTTGTTGAGAAAAATAAAAGCTCGTGAAATAGACGATCGTAGTATGCAGAAACAAACCTCGAGTCACTCATCAACCTTTCTTGGGCCATTGAGATTATCTACTAATTAGCTAACATTTACGGGAGTCAACACATTTCTTGTATGCAGGGGGTCGAACTGGTCATTATTCCGGTTCGGTTCGGGTTCAGGTTCAATAGCTTTGTGTTTTGTTCCGGTTTGGTTCCAGTTCAATTATGAATTCAAAATAATGGTTCGGTCACCGGCGCCACCAAGCACAAATCTGTTCAAATAAGTTCTTAAAAAGAGACTATTTCCACAGCTCCCAGTGATTAAAAAAAAGTGTGCTTAACACTGCGTCATTTGCATAAAAAGACCGAAGGTCATCAGAAGCACGTGCTGCAGAAGCAAGGGCAGCAAAACAAACAAGGTGTCTGAAATAACCAGGCTTGATCTAAAATGAGCCTTAAAAATCGGCGCCAGCACAGAGCAACCTAAACTTTTAGTAAAGGTGCACTTCACAGGTCGGTTTTACCTTGCAAAATTACAAAACGTAGCTTCCTTTCTGTAAAAAATAGGGCCAAAAGCTTGCCAGCGTCAAAGGCGGACAGCGACGCAGACGACCGAGTTGAGTGGCGGGGTACATTTGGCACAAGTATTGATGGATGGCATCACGAGCAGCAGTGGAACGTGTAGTTAACATGCAAAAGAATGCAGACGACACAGAACAAATTCGTTGGCAGCAAACAGACCTTCGTTATGCAACCACTTGTTGTTTTTTTTTCATTGTTTGCATTTATTTTTGAACCAAAGGTATGTTGCAAGAAGATTTGTTCATTTTAATAGGCCACAGTCATTGCGGGCAGACTTGATAAGTGGGTATTGCCATCTATCAATAGGTGCACCAAATGTATCCCGCCACTCAACTCGGGCCTCTGCGTCGCCGTTGACCCTGGCAAGTCTCTTGGCCCTATTTCTTTACAGAAAAGGAGCTGCGCTTTGTAATTTTACGAGATAAAACCAACTTGTGAAATACGCCTTTGACGAAAAGTTTAGGCTGCATTGTGCAGGTGCCTATTTTTATGGTACATTTTAAACCAAGCCAGACTACTTTAGACACCTTACATAGACTTAATTTCGTTTTGTTATCTTGACTTCATATTGCGAACACCGTTTTACGCGTATTAAGTGGTCATACAAGCACTCAGAAACAGTACCAAAGTGCAGTACTCACAAGTGAAGTCAATCAGTCGGAACACGCATTGACACCGCTACGGTATTGTGCATCATACTCTCAAACTACCTACCCTGCACACGCTAACGACTTACTCAAACAGTCGAGTTCAAAAGGAGGAAGACGGTGAAGGGCAGGCTAAAGACAAAACGAAACAGAAAAAAAATATGGCAACATGCTGCTTTTAAAAAACACACACACAAAAAAAATGCCATGCAGCATCCAGGGCTGTGGACGATTGGCGTTCCGGCGACCAGCGCCACAGTGTCGGTCGTAGCTTCGCCTCTTGGCACCTCCAGATTTTGCCATTGTGGAACAAACATGCCGACAGCTGTCAACCTTTTTTTTTTACTTTGATGTTTCTTTGCCTTCTCTCTCCTTGACGAATATTACTTAGCACAGCAGAGGAAGAAAAGTACACACATGACACACGCAGTCACACACAAGGAATAGCTCTCTAGCCTCTTTAGCATAGTCGGATATACTCCGTTTCCACCTTACAAAATTCCACGACGGATGTTACGAGCAACCCGCGCCAATCCGAAGCTCGTAGCTTGTCTTGTGACTTCACGCTCCCCACATCGTACCGCCCAGCCAGAAGGGCACATGACACCCTCTGGGCTACAGATTCGCACCAGTGGCTCGTCACATTCTTTGCAATCCGTCGCAGGTGAAACAGTGTGTTCACGTCTACGTGCACTGCGCTGATGCCAATTCGTGCTGCACATACACATGAAATATTTGTTTGTTTCATTATTATTGAGCTTTCTTTACGTCACTGCCGTTTGTTAAGTCAGAACTGCGCCACCGGTGTCACCTTTGCAAATATATAATAAACTTCACACTGGTAGCCGCAAGAAGGTGCGGCTCACATTTTATAGTTCCAAACCGTTCTCCAATGGACCGGTAATCGCCACATGAGATTACGGTTCCGTTTCAGTTCGGGTTCAATATAAATGCTTGTTTTCGGTTATGGTTGTTGTTCCAGTTCGGTCAAAAATAGCAGTTCTGCTCTGGTTTTCGGTTTGGGTTCAGTTCGGCACCTTGCTTGTATGCGACTTAGTGTGCCCACTACGACACTTATACATGGCTTGCACATGACATTACATCATGCTGGAGGCCTTCCCTATTGTTGCCGAGAACTAATTTGCCAGTCCAAAATGTATGCTGCAGAAGGTATGTGATCGGCAGCGAGGCCACCGCAGTGGCAAATGATGTAGTGTCAGTGCAAGTCATGTATATGTGTCTTGCAGGTAACATCCTGCCAGTTTACACCTACTGGTTTCTCCCATTTGAGTACCGCATGAATAGCGTAAAATTAGCACAGTGAAGGGAGCTAGACAAAATGATTTCAGTGCTACCCATTCGTAACTTACTGGAATCTAGCTCTTTGCGTGGAATGGAATTTCTATTGCAGTCGGAGGTACTATTTTAAATGCGTCGGCAACTTCTGCGCAAGCCCTTTACCTAAACATTTCGGCGAGCATCCGGCTCATTACGAACTTAATGTAGGGAACATCGCAGGTCCGGCCAATGAGAGAAGACAATAGCCGCCTGCCGTGACTCGCTGAGAGCACCCTCGGAAGCTGCTCCATGTGGGCTTCCTTGCCATACCCGCTTCTGCTGCGGGTATTCGTGCACCTCCCAGCTCGCGACATCTGCCGTTGCGGCTGCGTCTGTGGCTCCTGGTCCGAAGCGGCCGGAGACGAGCTGCTCTGGCGACACAAGCTCCGGCAGGACTGGAAGGTGGACCGCAGCGTCCCCGCGTGCGACGGTGCTTCCTGGAAGCTGGAGTACCGCCGGCTCCTATACGAAGCGCCAGTCGTAGAGACGGAGGTCCTCCGTGACCACACTCACCAAGTGCTGCACGTCAGCTTCTCCCACAACGGCTCCTGCTTCGCGAGCTGCTCAAAGGATGGCCACGTGAAGCTGTGGAGCTCGATATTCCCTGCCAGCGTGCTGCACTCACGCAACATGCGCGAACTCAGCTGGAACTACACGCAGTTCTCACAGTTCAACGAGTCGGACACCCTCGTTCTGGTCTCTGGAGTCCACTTCGGCACCCACACGGCATCGGGAGAGATAGCGGTCTTCAACCTCAGGGAGGGCTTCACCCTCCAGTGCAGGGTCCTCAACAAGCCGTACGACATCTTTGGGACCTGGTACACCGACCACTATCTCCTCTCGGGCAAGCTTCACTTCTTGGGCCACATGCTGTCCTGCTCGGCGGTCTGGCTGAACAAGGCCTGGCAGGAAAGCGAGTCGGAGAAAAAACCCATCGTCAAGCCGCTCTTCAAGTTCTTCAACAGCAACGCCAGCTCCGTCCGGACCATCCTGGTCGCAAACTGCGAGCAGCCCCACGTGCGCGGGAACCCAGTGTCTGAACCGTGGACCTCGCAGGACGACGACGAGACGGACGAGGACAGTGCGGACGCCGACGATCCCCTCGACCCGCGCGAGAAGCTGCTCATCTTCACCACAGGGTCGCTCACTTATGCTCCCCACCAGGTCGGCTTCAAACGGATCAAGCCATTCCGCTTCGCGGAGCCGGAGAAGGAAGTGCCGACTTTGTCTGAACGGATCGCCATGCGTGAGGAAGAGAGGCTGGCCGAACCCCCCGACCCGATCGAACAGGCGTTTGACGCCGTGGACCATCTGGTCGACCTCCACGGCCACATCATCGGGATGGGGCTCTCTCCAGACCATCGGTTTCTGTACATTAACAGCCGGCCTTGGCCGCAGAACTATGTCATCGAGCAACCGCTGTCGCCCCCCCCAATCGCGCAGGAGATAGACATCCACGTCATCGACCTGACAACCATGGAGGAAGTGGGAAACCTCCTCCGGTCCCACAGGGCCTACACACCAAACGACGAGTGCTTCTTCATCTTCCTCGATGTGAGCGAACAGTATGTGGCAAGCGGTGCGGAAGACCGGAAAGGTTACCTTTGGGACCGCCACTACGCGGTCTGCCTGGCCAAGCTTCCTCACGACGACGTGGTCAATGCGGTGGCGTTCAACCCCCGGGATCCCCAGATGTTGGTCACTGCGAGCGACGACTTCACGCTCAAGGTGTGGCGGTCGCGCAGCAGGGTTAAGGAGCTGGGGCTGGCATTGTGAGGGTCCTCAAAAAGTGCCACGTGGGTTGTTGTGTTCAAAATGTGCCAGTAAACTCTTTGGAGCAGCAGGCTTCTGAAAACAGGTGTCACTGTACCAAAGCAATTGTAAAATAAGCTCAAATAAATGGTAAAAATGTTGACCCAAACTCACACGGAATGTTTTCCTTTCTTTGCAAGATTTACAATTCATGCATAGGTTATTTTTGTGCAGCTTTGCTTTCTCAAGAGTGCAACTTCATTGTTATGGTCCGAGACATGATCCCCCACACTGCCTGTTGACAGCTCTCCTGGAGTAGTACAACATTCTACAATATGTTAAAAGTGGCACCTCGGTAACATTAACTAATAATTGTAATTGTGTTGTGTGTATGTTTACACAGCCAGAAGGTAATCACGCCCAATGAGATGAGAAAATTGTCCAGTGCAGTACAACTAGGCCGTATACTTTCCGGTGTTATGTCAAAAATCGGCGGATGTTTTTCGGTGTTTCTTTCCAAAATGCCGGTGCATTTCGGTGAATTGTCTTGTGCAGACGCTTAAAACGGCGTTTATCGAGGAAAAATATGCAAATAGAAACGAGCAATGAAGAGAGGAAACAGTTTAACTTTTATTTACATCTGATACAAAATGTTCCGCATACCTCATTATTGTGATATATACTTTGTTTCAGCTTAAGTTGAGACACGCTTCGTCCCAAAAAATATAACAGACACTTCAAACCACCTAACTAGTGTCCACAGAGAAGGAATTTAAACTTTTGGGGACATAGACTAAAGGTCAAAGAAACCAGTACTGATAAAAAAAACACTCCTCGATCACTAAGAGACCTATGCTGACAATCATCCCAAAATGACCGTAAAAAAAAAAAAAAAGGAACAAAAAAAAACACTGTCCTTATGCAAAAATGTTTAAAAGCCGGTATTTTTCGGTTTTAACCGTTTTTTTTATTTTCGACACCGGCAGACGTTTATTGGTGTTTTTCGGTTAAAACCGGAAAGTATACGGCCTAAGTACAATCGCTAGCCTAGGGTCTTTGACGTGCACCGCACAGTAGCCATACACAACCGTACGCCGATACAGTACTCATCCAGATCGAAATTGACAGGGTTGGGGATTGGACTGAGGATCCCTGGGAAATGTTTCACACAATATTCTTTAAAATTTTGTTTTGTGCTAACTATTTTCCAGCCAATCTTGTCGCTGGCTTTTCCCGGCTTACTAAATCAGTTCTATTTCTTTACACCGTTTCCCCCAGAAAAGGGTTGCGACAGGAGTGGGGTACAAAACAAGTCGCAGGGCAGGTCCGCATGTTCTCCCAATGTGCCTGAAGAGCAGTGAGACCCACACAGCTCCCAGTACCAGTGACATAGCCAGGGAGGTGGCTTATGGGGCTTTAGCCCCCCCCCCAAAATTCATCCGACCCTATTATATAAGCATGCATGTTCGACCTTACTCCCCCAAGTCATGTACATCCCAGCTATCTAAACCCCCCCTTCCCACCGAAAGATTCCTGGCTATGCCACTGCCCAGCACTGCTCACACCGACTTTCTGCAACCAATTGCACGAATACAGCTTGAATCGTGCCACAAGATGGTGGATACTTGAAACGCATGTATTTGCAACTAAATTCTCAGTCATCAAACTTTGAAATGTGCACTTACGTACAATTCTGTGCTGAGGGGAGTTGGTTCCCCTATTCATGCAAAGAACAAAAGCACCAAGGTCAGTGTGGAGGTGGGTCCAACATGATCCTCACACCATAAGAGTGTGGCTTCGATTTATGTTGGCAATCGCTGGAGCATCTCAGTTCTTCGAGCTTCTCTGGGAAAAGCGCACAGACGTCACCTGCTTTCAAACAATACCGACCTGCTTGAGGCGTCCGACACGCCACGCTCGTTGAGCACTCTGGGAACCTCGAAGCAGCGTACTAGATCAACCCAATAGTTGTGCCATGGCTACAGTGTTTGGAACGAGTCATAATGTGTCACGCCGTCGCCGGCCGCCATTTTTCCGGTGTCACAGTGGCATGGTGGCCATGTCGGACGCCTGTTCTACTTCAGGTCGCTCTCCGGCCTGACAGTGCACGAAGGCTTAAACAAACAGCCAGGAGTTATGACTATGTGACAACAGCGAAACATGTGTCTTGTCATACTTTTTGCCAGGACTTCTAGCTTCAACCATTGGGATCGCGACGTCCGGCAACAGGACACTGCAGCTTCTGCGACCTCGTCCGTTGCACTTCAGGGTCACTTTTGACGTACGAGGTGGATGGGACGCTAGACGGGCCAGTCGAAGCCACACTCTAGGCACCATTCCTTCGTGTCCAAAGAGCCTCAAGTTGCAGCCTCCAAAAGCCCTAGAACTAATGAGTGGAAGTTGAAGCTTGGAAAATGATAAGACCAAACGTCAGCTACAAGTACCATGGGGAAGGTGGGATGCCAGACTGCGTCTTGCTTAGATTGGTGTTGCACAATTCATGTTGGCTCATTGTGCAGAAGTGTCCAGGGTGTTTTGAGGGTTTGGGCCAATCCCGAGTCACCGGGACTGGTGTTTGCCATGCTAAATGCGACGGGCAATGCAAGTAGCTTTATGAAGCAATCGTGAGTCACAGATGTCCCTGGTGTTGCAGTTGCTTTGGTTCTGGTGGACGGAGATTAATATTATGTTTCAACTGGACGGTTCTTATGGAGCGAATTATGTACGACCTGGCGCTCCAAGTTGGACACTCGGTGAGATCACTGACCACCATAATTGGCCATCGCTAAAATCTACACAACCTAAAGTCACTGGATGCTGGAAAGTAGCGGCATTGCCTTCCCTGCCACCTAGCTGGACACGAACAGATACCAACATGCAGATGACAAAACCTCGCAAGGCGATTGGCCGATCAGTTTATGTTGACATGCCAATCGCCATTTCGGTCCTTTCCAATCTTCGAAGCTTTGAGAGGGTCGTTCTGAACCAGTCTCGTAAAAATCGTCATGCGGCGTCGTCGTACTGAGAGCATTCCTCGCCAACATAAGCATCTTTGGCACCTGTATGCAATCAACTTATCTACTGAGAGATCTTACAGTAATACTGTTCTAGTGCATAATATCAAGAGAGGAATTATTTTTCAATGCCGGTGCCGCACGTGGTGGGTCCTAGTTTGTTCTCAAAAGTGCCTGTTCATTCACCCCCCAAACGTTCAAACCTTCTGGGACGAATTTTCGCGATGCCGATGCACACTAGACAAAGAGCTGCCCGCGATCTTGTCGAGTCAGTCGCTCACGCTCGCCGTTACACTGACAAATTGCCACCAGCCTTTGTCTCGACACTTGCTCTTTATTTTGTTTGGCACAAGCTCACCAATTAAACCTTCATTTTCAATTCAGTTTATCCTCTCATTGCCTATATTTGCGACAATATCAGTGATGTGATTGGCCCAAGCCATTTTGGAGCACCTTTCGGAGCAGCAAATGTGGCTTTTGGAGCAGCCAAGACAGTATTTTGGAGCAGTAAAAGTGGCTTTTGGAGCAGCAAAAGTGGCTTTTGGAGCAGATGTTCTTAGAAAAATGAAAATATTCGTTTTAAGTGCTGTACAAATGGAGGGCACTTTGTGTTTTGACTTCTGCAGTGTTCTAATGTGACGTGTTGTGACAGAAGTTTCTGCTTGTGTTCTTACTGCTGAGACATCCAAGTGTACAGTGCTGTAGGCGTTGCCGAGCAAATCCGAAAAACCGCTTGCCACCGTTTTACTTGTTCCCGGCGTACCAGATTTTCGTCTAAAAAAAGCAAGCGTAAAAAAAAAAAAATGGATTGCAAGCGTCCCGGCTGGTGCCTCTGCCGTGCAATCAAGTTCGCAAACACGCGAGGGCAACTTCAGCAGGCTTGCAGTTGCGCGTGCATCGTTGCGCGAGCGGAGACAACGGTTGTTCGATCGAAACCGAAACCATGTCACTCCGCTCCGTCGCCAACTGATTGCCGAAATTGTATGCTATATGAAACTGTCGAGCATAGGACGAAAAACATGCCAGTCGCGCGTTCCTGTCAGGCAAGCAAACCAGGTACAAGCTAAACACATAAAAAGAAAGCAAAAAAGAACTAGAACGCATCGATGAAACACATCGCAAACCAGGGTCAAAAAGTTCTTGGAGCGCTTTTTGCAACGACTGAACTCGAGACAAACAAGCGCGCTGTGCGGGTTCAGCGTGCATACATTGCCTTCTTTGTTTGAGCTCACTTCTCTTCACCGACTTTCTTTCGCAGCAGATTATTCACGTACCGGAATCCCTCTCGAAAGAAAGCCCACCGAGAGAAACCTAGCTAGGTAATCAATACTTCGACACAGCAGTCTTTGACTTGAAGAGGGATTTTTGTAGTAATGTATGATTAAAAGATGGACAGGAAGGTTGATGAACATGCGATGGTACTTAGTTTCATTTTAGAAAGCGTCATATCTGCAGTGACGTGGGGACGGCGACACGACCAAATATAGTTGTCTCACGACTGTTGCTTTCAGGAGCGAGTGCTTCTGTTCACAAAGTAACTCAGGCCGCGCAAAAACGCGGTTTCACAGCATGACGGCCTCCGCACACACCCGCTTCTATTGTTAAAAATAAAAAAAAAAAAAAAAAAAAAAGACGCGGGACGAGATTTACGGAACAAGAGCGCGAAACGCCAGATGGCGGGAAAACCATGCAGTACCCAATATACGTCTCTGGCAGCACCCAAGGGGGTTTGGCAGGACTGGATGGACATTTGATGCAGGGTACTTCTGTCGGTTGGCCGCTTGCGCCACACAACACACGCAAGCTCAATACGGTGCTCAGTTTAGTTTCGGTTTTAAAAGGCAAAAAAAGTTACCTTTTTTTTTTTTTTTTTTTTTTTTTTTTTTTAGCGCAGGCTACCCATATTTTGGCAAAATGTAGCAGGGTTAGCCTCTTGGCGCAGCAATCACATCACTGCAATATTTCCACGTGCGTGTATGTGCAGCACCTACACAAAGATCTATGCAGACTGAAAATTACTACTAGGCTAGAAACATTGAACTATGTCCTAATAAACTAAACAGAACTTACAAGAAAAGGAGCAGCCTTGTATGGGAATGAGTAGCTGGTTAAAAGCAAGTGAATAGGCAGAGAAAGAAGACTGGTTGTACCAGCCGAGAATGCAGGAAGTTTGCATTCCGAAATAATCTAATGTTAGGAGACTTTGGGTAAAAATTAAGGTTGCAACCATGCATCCGGTCAGATCTTAAATCTCACCTATAGACATTCGACTGCTTGAATACAGCAACAGTACAACTCTGGTAGAGTACAGACAATAGTGGAGAGGTGTCATGCAAATAACCTTAAAACCAACCCAGTGGCCTAAAGGAAGCTGCTCCGGACTCGCAAAGGAGCACTTGATGCACAACGGCTTGTGAATTAAAAGAACAAGCCAGAACCAGGTTTTCATTTCATCCACAAGCTCTTTAATTTGTGTCGTCTCATTTATACAAAGTTCCACATTGAAGGGAAGAGGAGAGCAAAAAATGAGCATTACAAAAACTTCCTCGCAGGAGGGGGGAAAAAAAGCTGTGGGCATGTACAATACCACACAAACAACATCAAAAAACTGTATAGGTCTAAAATTTGTTCACAAGCAGGGGGGAGAAAACGCCATTAAAAACCCCTAATCTGCAAAAACACGATGCCGTACGAGATCTAAGACATATAAAGAGACGCCGACGGGATCAGCATGTAAAACGGTCATTCCAAAACTCCTTGTCTTGAGCAATTCCGTAGCGTCTAGACCTCTCAAGTACAAAATGGAAGAAATGAAAATCTTTACAGCAGAAGAAAAGAGAACTGAAGACATATATTAAAAAAAGGGGGAAGGGGAGAGCATGACAGATGAGAACATGGAGCAAATTTACAACTTTGATATAATATAATATGCATGCCTTCGCAACGAGTATGTAGCAGTGGGTCATGAGTATAGTACGATGTCTTCAGTTCCTTCTCTACTCCACCTCGCAAGAGGCAACTCCCCCGTCCTTCCCAGGTCTGCCAACACCAGTGCGGACTTGCTGAACCAGTAATGCCCTAGTAGACTCTCAAACCCTGGGAAAGCACCCCCCTGCGTCCCAACCCCTCCCCACAAAAGGACACTATGCGCCTGCCCGCGAGTGGTCTCCGCTGGGACGGCGCCAAGTATACAATGAGAAAAACGAAACCGACGTGTTCGGTCCGTGCAGCAGCGATAGTAGTTTCCCTCCTTCAAAGAGCGAGACGAGAGATGACTAAGGCTTCCCCGCAAGGGTCGGCTCATTCCTTGACCTCCGCGACGGCCTTTGCCACGACCTCTTCGACCTTCTTCACCTCCTCCTTGATGACCTCTTCCTTCTTTACCTCGTCCCCTTTTGCTTCGACTTTCTTGGCGTCAGTCTCTGTAGCATCAGCCGCCAGCTCTTCCGCCTTTTTGGCGGCGGGCTCTTCCTCTGGGGCCTTCTTGGGCAGGTGGGTGTTCAGCTCCAGGGTCTTGCAGATCTCGTCCCAGTCCGGCCAGTAGCGCTCCTTCATGCGCTCCACGAAGGCCAGCAAGTTAGCGCAGTCGGATTCCATGTACTCCAGCAGGCCTCCGAAGGGCACGTACACGAACTGGCAGAGGTGGGCGAAGGCCACACAGTCCAGCTGAAATGGAAGAGGGGCACTCTGGTGAGCCAGACCGGTCTGGCGCTCTTCGTACGAAGCACCACTGCCCCTGGGTGCACCAAGTAGCGATACCATATGAACACTAACATGAAGTCCTTCATAACCTTCAAATATGCTCACTTTAAGAGGGTCACTTGGGCCCTAGCACTTTAAATCACACTTTGGACCAAAGTTTTGAGAAAAATCTGACTGTGCCGCAGCGAGAATGTGGCACCTTGGCTCACCATCAAACCTACCACTCGAAATTCCCAAGCGTACAGTCAAGCCCCATTGCACCAAGGGTGGACCAAATCATGTTGTGAAGTATGAGGTAAAACAACAGTGTGGTTCAAGACTAGGACACTTACAAGATGAGGCTCTGTTCCAAAGAAGAAAGACTTTCCACCCAGGAACTGGGAGAGGTTCTTGAGGTCATCTTTGCCGAATTCAATGATCTCCTCCGTTGTGTGGCGACCCAAGCCATGACCTATGGTCTGTTGCACGTTCTGCAAAGGGAGCAAAAACCAAGAAAAGGCACCCATTTTAATAAAAACATTTAATGCAACCTAAACAAAACAGCTTGGAACACTAGAATATCAAAATATTTGGCAGGCCTAGACAGTGTGCATCACATCTCGTACACACACGGAAAGAAACTTGCATTTCGGAGACTATACAGAAATTGGCTGCTACATCAAAGTTATGTTAAACTAGAAGCAATGAGCATACCATTGGACGGAGGCAGCATAGCATGCCAGAGGCAAAATCTTACAGTGAACTCAAATGTGCCTAGTCATTACAGTAAGAACGAGAAAATCTGTTGCTAGTAGCCAGGGTCACTACAAGCTGCTCTCAGTGGTAGGTGGTTGAAGCATCCACACCCAAATCCACTCAACTGGAGCGAAACTGGTAATCAGCTGCTTGTGAACTGAAGCAGACCGAACAATAACGAAAGCACCCTACTTAATGGGAACGGTGCTATGGCACCAGAAACTTGGTCCAATTTTTGCATTGAGGACTCACGCACGCAATCTGAAACCTTCCTACAAAAGAAACAAAGTGGCAACACAGAAGAGTCTTGTCACAATACAAAGGGGAACACACAGAAAGTAAAGACAAGAAAGGTGCGGACGGACATACCCTAGTAAGAGCTGGCACTTGCCCAGCGTTTGTCCCACCTATACCTTCTACACGCAGTTCCCAGTTGAAAGGGAACAAAATGGGACATGAGTAGCTGTGCAATGCTACAAGACATTGACAACTCTAAGGGTCAGCTGCAGAACCGGCAAACACTAGCAAATGTAGAGACGCCCTCCTCCCATTGGTCAAGCAACTCGAAACCAGGACAAGGAACAGGCAAAGGAAGGTGCTGCAAGCAGGAACCAATAATATATTGATCTTCATTTGGCTCTGGGGAGCTGTGGCACCGTCGAAAGGCAGCAGCCCATACCAAGGGGGCTTGAGGTGCCACACCTAGGAAGGGCGATTATGGGGCGACATAGACAAGATGCACAATGTTGAAGTGGAGCTTGCGGTCACTAATGCAGCAGCCAAATTTAAATCTGTACATCTTGCTGGTTCCTTCTACACTTTTAAAAGTTTAGTTTCCCCACCCAAACTCTGGCTAACGTGCAATATGCTGAACATTGTGGTGGAAACTCCTCCAGGCAAAAATAGTCAATATATTAATGAAATGTAAACACCACTCTGATTTGATCCAGGCAGTATAACTGTACCAGCATTGTTGCTCAAGTCCTACACACGGCAAAGCCTGTGCAACACAAATGCAATGGCGAAACATGGTGCAGCAATCGTCCAAAGTCCAAGCTACTTATACAAGAGATGACCACTCACACTCTTGAAGGCGAGCTTAAAGAAGAACTGCAGCACGCCCTTGGGCAGCTTGGAGTTGAGCATGCGCTTGACATCCATTTGGGCAGCCTTGAGAAACTGGCCCGGGTGGCGGTAGCGCCAGCAGCGGGCTACCCAGCCCGTGTGGTTGTTGAGCATTGAGGAGAAGGCATGTGCGATGTTGCGCTCCTCCTGGCTCAGCCCGGTGTCCAGGTCCTTGCCAAAAGTCTGGCTCAGCTGTCTGATGATGATGTCGCTGTCTGCTATCTCCTCCCCGTTCAGCTCTACAAATGGGAGCTGCCCCTTCTTGGATTTGAACTTCAGCTTGTGGTCGACATTCTGCAAGGAGCCATAACAATTATAAGTTTATTGCCACCCTCAGTTGATGGCGGCGGCCGAGGAAACAAGTTGCGTACAGATGTCTACAAGGCTCATAGGCAGCTACACAAGAGCAAGGCAGAAAAAACTGAAAGGAACAATATTCATAAGCAGGACAGGACACTACAAATCGTGAAAATTGAAGCGGGCTTAAAGCGGCGTCCGCTTCAATTTTCACGATTTGCCGGAGTCGTTCGGCGATGCTTAGTTTATTTTTGCGGTAAAAAAGAGCGCAAATTTTATTTTGTGACATCCTATAGACAGGGGCTGGAAAAGGGCACTACAGTCAGCACAAGACCCCTACCTTACACAAGAAAAGGGATGCAAGTTTCTCGCTGACTGTACCATCCCCAAGTCCATTCGTTGCCATCTGCAGCAATGGTGTAAAGCGGAGACCTAAATACCTTTTCACCCATGTTCGGCAATGCCGTGTTATTTAAAAAGATTTACTTGGGATGTTATACCGATAATTGGGGGTGTGCAGCGCGTGTGCCTAGGTTCCCAGCAGTCTCCTCGGAGCTTGGGTAAAGGCCAAAAAATATAATGGGCAAGCCAAGAGGCATATAGGCCCCTTCCGAAAGTGTGCCCTCTGAAGGTATAGAATCCCTGCACAATGGCAGACAAAAGACACTGCCAATGTTGGGACCTTGAAAACTACCGACACTTTGTTCCTAGGTTATGCAGTTTTAGAATCTCATTTGTGGTGTTATATGTTCCGCCATTCTGGAGAGTATCGGACTTTTTAACAATGAGCACGCGACTTTAGAAAGAGGTCCACAAAAAAAAAAAAAGATGTAAAAAGTTGACCATTCAGTTACAGCTGCTGAAGCAAGGGTCACTGTCCACAGATAAGAATGTACCAGGAAGAGACGTTTAGCTCGCGTGCACACCTTAATCATTATTTACTTTCCCCTCTTATCATTAAACAGAGCCCTGAAGAGTAGAGCCACACGCTTGTGCAACTAATGACGCGATTGAAAAGAAGAAACCAATTGGTATACATGATCGCTTTTTTTTTTACTACCTTAAACATTTGCAACAAATGCAGACTATTGGTCTAAAAAAAAAAAAACACACCAACCTTAAAAAAAAAAAAAAAAAAAACAAGTTCCGTACAGCCTGGTTGATAGCAGACACACGGAAACGAAACAAAGACCCTACACGTGCGCCAGCGAAACAAACCCAGCGGTGAAAAGAAAAAAAAAATACCCAAAACTCCCTGGGAATTGAAACGCAAGAATGCTGTCCGCGAGTAGCCGAAGGCGGGGCAACGCTTCCAGCCACAGCCCAGCGCAGCAGGCGCGGCTCTGCGCCCGAAAAAACGTCGCACCAGCCAGACCGTAGTAAATCGCGTCCTTCAGAAATTGAAAGCAGGCGCTCCGCGGCCAGCGAACGGAAGTCCCCTATCAACGCGCCAAGAGACAAATTAAGCGCGATGCCGGCGGCCTGAGTCACGCATCGGCCATGACTCCGCCGCTCTGACAGTTCTTAGGCCTAAAAGCGCGTCACTGCCAAACCGGCCCTGACGACACAACCCGCCGGCTGCGGTGGGCAAATTTGAACGGCAACGCGCGCCGGTACGAAAGGAAACAACTCACCTCATACTTCACTTGGTTCATGCGCAGCCAAGTTTCCACTTTGAGGCAGAAGGGCGAGATTCCGGGCAGCGTCGGGCAGCGGGTGAACTGGTACAGATAGACCACATCCTTCTCGTAATCCGTCTTGTGGACCGTGGGCTTGTTGTTCGCCGACGCCGTGGTGGTGGTGGTGGTTGTAGCGGTCGCTGCGGCGTCCGACGTCGGGCTTGCCGCGGCCGCCGGTGTGGTCGGAGTCTCAGCGGGCTTGTCCGTCTTGGTGGCGGGCGCCGTCGCGTTTTCGGTCTCGCTCGGGCTCGTCATGGCTGAAAGAATTTCGATGGGAGGACGACGAACCGGACCGCAAAATGGCGCACAGCAGCGGACCGAGGGAGCGTCGCACAGACTGACAGCGGCGCGATGATTGGCCGAGACGCGGGGTGGGGGCGCTTTATACGCGACCCGGCAGGTGACGTCACGCGGAGGGCGACGCGATAAGTTCGATAAAGGGAAGTGACGTTGCGATTGTCGCTCCTCGTTTCGCTTTCGATTTCGGCTGTTGCGGACACCTGTGAACGCGGTGGGATGTTCTGGTTGGGAATGACCCGTCATGAGTGTGAACGGGGCAATTTGTTGGCACTCTGGCGCATAAAAGAAGTTGCTTTGTCATCAAAGTGACGTGACAAAAAAAAAAAAAAAAAGGAATCTCAGGAACTGTGGTAACAAAGATTAAAAATGGCATCTGCATTAGAGATTGGTTGTTTATTATTTTGTCACAACATACAATTTACAACAACAAAAAAACGTCTTTTTTTTACAACTAAATTTTAGAATAATTACTTTGCGTAGCGGATAAACTGTGCCAAATATGCACAAAAACTTTTTTTTTTCTTTTTAGGATGAAACGTGCGGTCATTCACAAACCGAAAGATCCCCAAAGCCGTTATAATCATGGGAATTTAAATTTCATTTCTGATCCAAAAAAGTAGTAATAGAAGCGGAAGTATCGCTTCCACCGATCTGAGATCCGGGACGAGAGACGAGAAATGGAATTGACAGCAATCAATGTTGGTTCTCGGTCAGAAAAATTGCCCGCACAAACAAACAAAAAGCTGCTACACTGTGAGCCTTGGTGCAGAGGCTCTGCTTGGTGTTGAGACAAAACGGACAAAAATAATTACCGGGCTCTAAATGAACCCACGCAGTTCGACTTGCGCTGAAGCACACAAAAATTTAAGAAAAGCTGTCGGAAGAAACGGAATCCCTCTGACCGCAGGGCGAAGCAGCATACGAGCAGTCTGCATCATAATCCCCTGATCAAGAGCATCCGGATATTTAAGGGCATGACGTGCAAAGCATTCGCGAGTATGATTATTGTTGTTGTTTATAAGCACGAGCGTTGCCTGTGCAACGAGATGTGCTGTGAAATACGCTCATAATAACGACTTGGCGTCTGTAGAAACATAATAGCTTCATTTTCTTCAATTCCCTACATCAGCGGTTCTCAAGTGGGGTTCCGTGGACCCTTTGGGGTCCGCATTTTAGGGGCCGCGAAGCACTGCCTCATTAGTCAAGCCCGACAATAAAGGTTGTCTTTTTTTTTTTCAGATTGAGAAGAAACGTTCCGATTTGCAAGGTCGGTTTTCTCGTGTGTATGTCAATGAGGGAAGTCTACTTCACCGACCCTCTAGTTATATCCATTTATTAAAGTGTTATCTTAATTAACTTACACCTTCCCTTCCCCTCACCACGAGCAGGGTCCTCCATCATCTCCGCCGATCTACAAGGGCTCCGTGAAGCATCAATGGTTGAGAACCACTGCCCTACATCACGAAGAAAAGGTTGCGAAACAGAAGCGTCGGAACTATTCGGTTTGGGGTGGAGGAGAGGAGGGGGAGGGAGGGATTCCCCCCCCTCTCCCTTGTTCCAACGCTGCTGGAACGAAACATATTAATCTGTGAATAGGTTCCCATAGTCAAAGGAATAAAAAGAAGACTTTTACTGACCTTGTTCAAATTTAATCCGGGCCTGTAATGGCTGATTTGCCATAAGTTTTATGGAGTATGCCTAGTTCTTTCCTACAGTGTCGCTCTCTGTAATGTATAGCAATAGCAAGAACAATTAACGTGACAGGCGCGTACACTCCCATGTCATGACGATGCTAAGCTAACCTAAGTTTGCAGTCATTTCAAGTAAGCTAGTTCGATAATTAGGCCGAATTCTCATTAAATCTGTTACTTCACGTGTTTTAGCTTCTGTGCAAAACTCCCCTTTTTAAAAACACAAAACTATAAAAAAAAAAAAAAACTCACTTGGAAGTTCTGAAGTGCTGAAAATTTTATACGCGATTCCATCTTTTAGTTTCTGTCTTTTTCCAGCAAAGCAGCTAACCCTGTCGCTATGTTTCTTCGCGCCGAAGTACCAGTTACAACAAACGAAATAGACAACCTGAATTAACCTTTTTTGGAGCTTCGTAAGCTAATATATTGCACTACTGCGCTGCATCCTTTCCAAACGCAAATGTTCTTTGAATGCTTTTCTTTTTCTTTTTTTTTTTTTTTTTTAAGTAAACGGCGAGAGCGGGGTTGAATTACCCTCCATAAATGAGCGCAATGAAGTCCGTCGCCAAAAAATCTTCCGGTGTAGCAGTACGTGATAGCCCGGCGCCACATCTTTCCCCGACGGGCCCAAAAGCACTTGTTTTCCCCCGTGATGTAGTATGATAAGAGTTTTGACCCTTGAACCTATACGAAGTCAACGACTCGTGGAAATATTTCGCGGTTTGTCTGACGATCCCGTCTCGCGGAAGGAGGCGGAATTCGGTTAGAAGGACGTCAATCATAAACCCAGTCCTCAACGAAACGCGCGAAGGGAACGAAGGTGGATAACACATGATAGCAAGGTGACACCCGCATGCCCCAAGACGAGAGACAAGGTGTTGCTTTGGCATCCTCCTGCGATAATCATGGAATGATCTCGCGCGGCATTTGGATAAGGCAGTTGTACATCCGTGAGTGATATGAAGGTGAACAGCCCTCTTCTTGTTTTTGACGCTCCTGTTCCAGCTCTGTTCCAGAAAAGGGCTAGAACGTAAAGTTTAGACCCCCAAGCCACGTACCATTTGAGACGTCGAGAGTTAATAGGGAATTGTAGTAGACCGTTCCCGCAGCCCGCTAAGCACCCGGATAGCGCTCCGTAATCCGCCACAAGACCTTGAACTATGCAGACAAAGCTGGCGGCGCGCATGCGTAGCTGCGGCGTTTTCTTCGGGGATACCGTAGTGGAGGAGAAAAACGAACTACTACAAGTCCCTAATATAGCTTTAGGGAGCCGTAAAACAGGCAAGAAACCAGGTAAGGTGTTCACCTTCATATTGCCGGCGGGTGTGGGTGTATCTCAAAACGTCCCATTCGCATTTGAACCTTGCACATTTTGGCGCATTCTCATTTGGTCCTTCTCGCTTGAACCTTCTCATAAGATCCGAATCGTGTTTTTCGCAACTTCTTCTCGAGGACGGGCTCAAATGTTAACCACCCGGCGGGGGTATGTACAAGTTTTAGGTTAAATCCAGACGCAGCCGAGGAGGCAATGAGACCGATCGAGCAGCACCAAAAGCACGAGGCCACCCTTCCGTTTTATGATTGGTTCAGCGATGATCGAACAGGTACAGAAACATGAAGAACACCATGATGGTGCGCTTTTGACGCTGACGCACGGACTAAAAACGCAATGTCACGACGTTCTTCGCGCTTTGTTGGAACAGTTAGTGGTAACACATGCAGAAAAACCCCGTGACCTGGCGCTTATGTCGCAGCTTGGTTTAGCTCCGCCATAAGGTTTATTTGGCGTATAGCGATACTGTCATTGTTGTTCTTGTTGCCGTGTGAAGAAATTACTATTAACGATCTGTCAAGCGCCCAGTGGCCCCGCATCTTGTAGCGTCACACCATAGAAACATCGGGAAATAACCGCGAAGCGTCGGGCGGCTACAACCTAGTGAAGTACTATATCAGTCCTTTATTCATTTATTTGTGCGTGCGTGTGTGTGTCGGTGGCAGGAACGTAGCCAGAGCCATGCCCCCCCCCCCCCCCCCCCCCCCCGAAATCTTCCATTTTGCTGGGGCCTTCTCTCCCCCTCCCCCCTCACACAGCATTTTGTCATGGGCGGACCCCCCTCCCCCCCCCCCCCCCCCCCCCGAACCAAAATCTTCGCTACGTGCCCATAACTTCGTCTCATCCTACGATGGACTAAAAGCCAAAGCGATGGGCCGCAGGTCCAATGACGCTCCATGCTAAACTATGACATGCCTAGCATTGATTAGGGGTGGACGAATAATGCTCAAAACCCCAAAACGCTGTATCATTTCCATAGCTTCGACACACTGCAAACAGCCTGTAAGTCGTGGCTTTCTTTTTTTGACCACTGTCCGCCCATGTCCATCAGTGATTCGAGACGCGGGCACAAGTAGGTGCATCAAAGCGCAATGCCACGCAATTTCTAAGTGGCTCGTGATTGGATCTGGCGGTCCGTAGCTTTTGCCTTTAGCCCATCGTAGGGTGAGAAGTAGGGGAATTTGAGAACTGTGCATTATAATCGTTTTATCAAGGCGATAGCCTTATATGTCCCATTACGCGAAAAGGTGGCGTCGCCATTGTGCCCGAAAGATGGCCATAAAAATTGCCTCCTCTATACTCACAAAGCCTGGCAGTTCGACGACGGAGCCGTAAAGTGCCCGGTCGCCAAGGAGGTTAGGAGTACTAGGAGGCAGCACGTTGCAATATTGGTGAAGCCTAGTGGCCTGCTGCGCGCTGCTTGTAGGAATGCGCTGCGTGTAGGAAAGCTTTCGCATTCCTGCACGAAAAAAGTCTTCGGCCTCTTCGGCGTGTTTTTCTATTAAATTCTAACAGGCCTCTTGTTTTAAAAAAGTGGTATCTATAAACCTACAAAAGGAAACATTCATTTAGGCAACGTGCCCGTAACTTTTTTTTTTTTTTTTTTGTCACAGAGTTTTATGGCGAGCCAAAAATCAACTTCACAGCGGATTCGGTTCGTCTGACTCGAGTTCACTATCAAATAGGGGCAATGGGTGAAGAAAAAAAAATATAAATATTTCCACTCAAATTTTGTTAAAGCTTTTCCTTTTCCTTTTTTTTTTTTAACGCGATTTTTGGAAGACGATGTTTCGAGTTTTGCGTGGGACAAACAATAATGTCTCAAATAACGAAGGGTATAAATTTAGAACTAAGAATGTGTCTTTAATCAGGCGAGCCTGTGCCAGCAATTAAAAAAGGACAAGTACCGAGCATCCTACGTCGGCGATGGAAGGACGACTGGACGCGCGACAAGTTCCAGCTTATCATCTAAAACGTAAAAAAAAAGAGAGAGAAAAAGAAACTAGTTGGCGGGAAATGATTTCCGCGTCTCCACGAGGCACCCGGCTGCGTGCGCTGCAAAGTCTGCCACGAACCCTCTCTTTAAAATTATTTCTGGTATCGCACGCAGCGCCATAACCTGCTGCTTTATAAACTATTTGGGAAAAAAAGTTAAAAGGTGACTTTTACTATCGGGTTCCTTGACTCGTTTAACATGAGTAAAG